AAATTCAAATTAACAATTACATTTATTGTGCACTCCGAAAAATAGCCAATGTAATCGCACCATTCACGTATGTCCATTTGTAGACAAGTAATCACAAAGTAAAAATAACAATTATATAACATATAAAAACTACGTATTAATATTAATTAATCGTATTGCCTTGACGACGATGACAAGCCCGTGAATTATGCAAAACAACCGCCTTGTTCACTTGTTGTGTTACCTCATATAAATGAAAAAATTAAAGCATATATGCAGGGCCTGATTAAGGCATTTTGAAGTCTAAGGACAAAATAAAAAATGTGGGATTATTTTTTTTTTTAATAATTTATTTTGCTTATATTTATTTTATACGAGAAGAGTTGTATTCCAAAAAAAAAAGAAATCATTCTAATTCGAAGTTCTCAAATAACGGAGGCCATTCTCAGTTACATATCCTAAATAATGGTAAAGATGATCCTGTATGAATATGTACGGTTTCAAGAAATAAAATGTAAGGTTGGAGATAATTGATAACGATCGGTGATAATGTGATATTACATTATTTTTATTTTCTAAGTACCAAATCACATTAAATAGTTTAGAAAAATATTCAAAACTAGATACGTCTACTGTCAATAACTATTTTTAACATGTCAACGCCGATGACAATGCGTGTAGTCATCAATCGATTTCAGGCCACTAACCGATGATTTCACGTAATAAAATACATACCTAATTTTAAATATTTGCGGTAAAGTAAAGTTTGTTGTACTTTTCAAGTTCACAGTCATGTACTCAGGTGCACATATTCGTTAAATTTACAGTAGGTACATTTTATGGTTCCAAATGCACAATTAATGTCCTACTGCATCTTACAATAAAGCCTGATACCATAGACATTCTGAAACAATTAAAAATGTTATAATAATAAAATACTGTTCTACATTTTTTAGTATGGTATACTTCACTACACTTTATTAATCTATTTATTAGAAAATGAAACAAAAGTTACATTGGAAAATCGAAAACTCTTATTATGATATATTTTATTGACTAAACCTAACAATACCCTACTGCCAGTATTACCGTAAACAGTTATAATAGTTAATGTAGTCTTAATTTTTTTTATTTCCATTACTCTATATTGCTTTTGATGATTGTTATTTATTATGAAGTATAGAGTATCTTTATTAGTTTCCAATTAAAATGTATAGGAACACCTTTAGTCTATAGAATATCGAAAATTAATTTAAAAACTCTACCTATATACATAAAAGGTTGTCATTAATACACGTGTCATAAAACATTACAGTCATAAATAAAAATGACAAAAGTGGACCTGTGAAAACAAAGGTTTGCATTCAAGCTAATAAATTATTGAGGTAGATAAAAATAAGAGGCCAAAAAATAAAAAATAAATACACCAAAAAGAGAAAATCAAGGGTGGTAGATTCCATTAGAGATCTTTTAGAATTCTCTTCAACGCTATTGATGACGTGCAGTTGATTAAATACGGGTTTGCAACACGTGTTCATAATTCCCATGACGACAAATTGTCCATTTTCTATACAGTTCAAAGCCAAAGGGTCGTCCCTGTTATAACATACCCCCCGTGACGTTTATGATTTATTACATACCGCTACACGACAATCATTAACTTAAAATGTATCGCTTATGTGGCAGCTTTTCAATCTATCAACTAGAATGCAAAAATTGGTTAATGCAAAGAATTTCATTAAAGTCAAACTTAATACAAAAAAAATATTAGTGCTTCTTAAAAGATTTTAACTACAAAATCATTAAATTACTTCTAAAAAGAAAAAATAACATGAAAAATAGAATATGTATCGGTATTTTCTGTCATTTAAAAATTGTTTTCAATTCTTTTATAACAAAAAAAATTAAATTATTATAAATTATTATGACTAAAAATATTATAATATTTAATTTTATACTTCAATGTTTAAATTGAATAACAAACTATTTGGACATTAAAATAAATCTGTCTTCTGTGAAAAATAAACAATTAAAACCGTTTTAGAAAGAAAATAGGAACATTATTTTTTTTCAATTAATCAGTTATTAATTACTCCATCAAAAAAGGATTTCGTGTTAATAATAATATCTCATTTTGTTACACCTTTAAATGATAAAATACATTAATAAATAAATATAAAATTAATAATAAATATATAAATACATAAATAAATGCTTATTAGTATTATGGTATATTTTTAATGAATTAGTATTTACTTATTTTTATTCTATTTTTTATTATTTTATTAAATAATAAATGGCTTATAGATGCTTATGTTAGTATTTTTTTAATTTTAAATGATAAATATTTATAACTAATTGGCCGAAATAGCTCAATTGAAAGAGCATTAAACTAAAGATCTAAAGGTCCCTGGTTTGATCTCTGGTTTCGGCAAAACTTTTTACTCTTCACAAACATTTTTCCTAGTTCCATACAATCATATTATCATATAAATCATATAAATCATACTATCAAAGAGCTTGAATAGTATTATGTATTATACTTCATGTATTTATACTTGCAAAACTGATCTGCGTAAGCGTTCAACATGAGATCCAAGTTTGGGATGCCTTGTAATATATTTTAAAATATCTATGCACAGAAATATTAGATTGGTTTTATAAAAAAAAAAAAAAAAAACTAAACGAGGCTACTTAATAAGGTAAATATTTTTTTAGGGCTTACGATTTTAAACATATGAACTACATGTTTATTATTCTTAGGGATGCTTTACAAAAGTTTTCCCGAGGCAATGGTGCAGACTCTAAAGATTGATACATTGAAACATGAAACAAAAAAAAAACATGGCATAAGTGCCATGAACAAATTTTCATTTTATAATGAAAATGTTTTTTTAATGTATTAAATATATCTACAAACCTTAAAAAAAATGTATTTATAAACTTGTATTTATAATAGGTAGATACAGATTTAATAAGGGATTAAAGAAAAACAAATATTGTCTGTCCCGAAAAAAAAGCTGGATCACAAATGACAGAAACCGACACTGATAAATCCTTTTCTTCACTTCTTTTAATCAATAATAAATGCTTATCTTTATGTAAGGTTAGGTTACTATTGACAAATACAAAAAATTATAATCGTCATTTTGAAAATTCTATTGTGAATTATATAATATTTGTTTATTGATATTAGGAGTAACAGACAAACTTTGTTTCTTCCGAATTACTGTGTAATAGGGAACCAGCCAAATAGTTAACCTAATCTTGAACTTAAAATGTCGGCATAAATGTTTCTGTGCTTAATTTCTGTTGCACCAAACTATATCATTTAAAAAACCGAATTATACAAACGATTTTTTGAATCTTGATGAGAACAATTTAAGAGACTTTTTAATGGTTCAGGTGAACCAAATCTGCAATGTCTTCTGAAAAAAACATTCCTTGATGAATAATAAAGATCTATAGTTTTGATATTTGATATCTGTAATTTCTTAATTGTGATGACACTTTTTTTAACAATTGAACAAGTTGATTACGATTTTCTACGAAATCTTCCAACAGTTAAATTGAGTATAATGTATCATATAGTACAATGAAATTATACTGGTACGAGCTGTCGTACATTTTTCATAACTTTATATAATATAAAGATGAAAATTGTCTAATTTATATGTTTATTTAAATTTAGAATCTTAATACCTTTTGTACTTTTATAACAATATATATACCTATATTATATAATATATTGAAAAGAGTAAAACTTAGGTATGTTTCTTCATAATTTCAAATTTGCATAGAAATATGCTTCATTGCTCAGAATCTAAAAAATTGAATTAGTAGGAGGGAGAAAAAATATTGAGCGATTCCTCTGCTCACCAGACGTGTCCTGCTCATTCCAGTATTTTTCTGACCAAGAAATATCGTAAACAAGGCTTATTATAGATAAAACCAGCACCTATTTTTTAGTGAACCCCATCACAAAGTGTGTAGTCCGAAACTGGGAATGTGCACTACGGATTCGATATTACGATAGAATATATATGGTTCTATGAAGGTGTTTTTCAGAGAGCCAGTTTAAGCAAGACAGCTGATGAGAACTTTAATATATCCATTAAATTGATAGTTATCCCACATTAAAATAAATAATTTGTAAATAGTTTTCAGTTTAATACCAGATAAAAGTACCTATATTTTCAGTTAAAAAAATAATAACAGATTGGGGTTACCAGATTATAATGTGCAAATTAATTAAAGAACTATTACTAAAAACTATTACTGACATTGTACTAAAAATTATAATCATATGGAAGGGGTGAAGGGGCGCTCTATATCGAATCATTGTACATTAAAAAATGTGTTGTATGAATTTTTATGAAAAATAGGATCTGGGTACAATTTCCGCAAGTTTTCATTTGTTCTTCTTTTGAAACTTTTCAAGATATTATTATATTCCGGTCCATATAGGTATATTAAGTATACGCCCACTTATAGAAAATTCATATTTGGAATTTACATTTTTTTTTTTTTTTTCATTAAAAATGTTTTATATGAGGTAATTTCATTAAAATGTGCATAATTTTTTTTTTTTAATTTTATTCTTGGAATATATAAAATGTGATTAGGGAAAATGTTTTAGCCATTATTGTGTTAAATTTACCTAATATTAAAAACCTAATCATCCGGCCGAAATAGCTCAGTTGGGAGAGCGTTAGACTGAAGATCTAAAGGTCCCTGGTTCGATCCCTGGTTTCGGCATTAGCTTTTTGGGAATTTTTATTTATATTTACTCGATATTTTTTTTATCATTTAAAATTTCTATGGCTCAAAAATATTATTTTACGATTAACTTTCATATTGAATTATAGATTCATAGGTACTAAAACACAACATTTAAATTAAAAATCTGTTTTCATTATACGATTTGTGAAATTTGGTAATTGAATTAACATCAAATCGAACACATTTGGCGACACTGTAAATTACTATCTAGAATATAAAGTAAAATTATCTACAAAATGATAATCAATTAAAAAGTGTTACTTAAATACTTCGTTTTTCATGTGATTAATTATTCACATATGTCCGATAACCACCATCATTAAATTACGTTCTATCTATTGTCATAACTTGACATTTACAAGTACACAGTCCCATTTAGTCTTATAACGCGTCACGTGTGTCGTTCACCTATTATTTATTTTAATTTCACAGTAATGTAAAGAGGAAGTTCCCAATAAGTTACGTGTGATATTGATGTTTAAACAACGTAAGTTTACCCAGTTGGCAAGTTATAAAAACAGTTTTCTGAACTTTATTTAATTATCACCGTTCTTATCTTGTAGTTCCAAGTTTATTGTTATAATATTTTTATAGTTCGAAATTTGTTCTTGATAATGATCTACAATTTTCTCATTTATTATAATACTATTATTACCATACAATACTACAAGTTTTGAGCTGTAAACTTTATAATTTGCCCTCCGAAAGTATTTAAATTTATGTGCATTAAATTAATATGTTTTATACTGAACCATTATCATTATTAATAATATTACTATTTCATTATTTTGTTTTCAGACCATTTCAGATGAAATCAAAGTTAAATCTGGTAATAAAGAGGCCATATTATGAACATAAATCATCAATCAATATGGACACACGTACGGATTCAAATTTTATTATTATATACCAACTTTTATGACAACTAGATCAATGCTTTTCTTTCGGTGTTGGGGAAATTGATCTTTCCACGCTATTAAATGAAAAACAATTTATTTACTTATTAATTTTATTATTACAATTATTATTTTACTTGTGTAAAAAATAAATTAGCATGTATAACACATTTAACAACTAAACATATAGCACCTACGCGACGTTAGATATGGGGGTTGCTAAGAAAAATAAAACAGTGGTTAGAAAAAGCCCTAGGCAGCATCAATGTAAATATTGTTACAAGGTTTTCCCATTTCCAAATGTATTAAAAAAGCATTATAGGGTTCATACGGGTGAACGACCGTATGAATGTGATTTATGTGGAAATAGATTTACACACCAAAATACTCTAAAAAATCACAAATTATGCATTCACAATTGTGGTCGAGAAGAAGATTTTACCTGTGGTCATTGTGACAAAAAGTTTCCAATCAAGGAACGACTTATTGAACATGTGCGCATTCATACTGGATATTTTCCACACAGGTATTATGTTTATTTACAATAAATTTGTATTTTTGAAATCATAAAGTCAGTTTAAGTTAAAATATATTTTTTTTTAATTTTTGAAAGCCACATAATAAAATTAAAATAATAATATAAATGTTGACTACTTTTATCTAAGTATAATATTGCTAAGTTCCAAAAAAATAAAAAACTGGTGGTGGATTTAGAACATAGTTAATCAAAGTTATGTATTTCTTTCTAAATAATTAATATTATTATTGTTATTATTATTATTAATTAATTAGTTATTTTATACAAAAAATATTGTTTTTTACTTTTATTTAATCTATACATGAATTTATAATATGACTTGATTAATTTATATTTACAATTATTCTTAAAAAGCTTGAATTTTAACGTATTTGCAATTTTTATAGAATACTTGACACTATGCTTTCCATGATACAAATGTACATCAGATACTTACTTTAGCTCATTTATGGTCAAGTAATTTATATTTGTTTAGTTAATAATCTTAATTTTTTTCTATAGATATAATTTTAGTATCCATATGCCTGATTTCACAAAAAATGAACATATTTATGACTAATTAAACTGCACAATTTGATGTTTAATACCTAAGGGATTCCTAAATATTTAAAGATTGGACAAAATCTTAATGGACATTTGTGAACTTCACATAAAATATTTCTCATGTATAATTAAATATACAGGGAAATCCTAGAATAAATATTTAAAACCACCTGTAAACTAGGTCACATTTAGGAAAAATGCAGGGCTTTCAGCTGCTCTCCTGCTACCAAAATTGATTAAAGTTAATATTTTATATCGAAAAGAAATGCCCACACATTTTGTTAAATATATTTTATACTTTTTTTGAATGTAATTATTTTTCAGTTACAATAAATTATTATATTTTATCAAAAATATTACTATCATTATTTAAACAATATTGATCAATACATAAACTTTGTATGTGTAAGTTTTCCAGTTCTCTCATTAATCAAGTTATTGATATTTCAATTTAATTTAGAAATTATTATTTCAAATTGGTTTTTGTATTCCACTTAGATATTTTTTTGTTTAATAATTTTTCATTACTTCAACTAGCATTTCTTGAGTATTTTCTATACATTTTTTAGATGTGACAAATGTTTAAAATCCTTCACACGAGCCAGTCAATTATGGCAACATGCGCGCTCTCATAACAAACAATATACATTAGAATGTGCAATATGTCATCAATTATTCGCTTGTCGTTCAGTTCTACGTGGCCATATGAAACGGCATATGGGACAAAATGATTATGTATGTGAAGTATGTGGCAAAGCATTTTTACGTAGGGATGGTCTTACTAAACATCTATCTAGCTATCATAATAATATCCGAGCATTTACATGTAAAATTTGCAATAAACAATTTAAAGGACATATGATCCAACATTTGAGGACACATAGGCATGAAAAGCCTTATGAATGCAAGAGCTGTGATGCTCGTTTTGTACAACGTTCACAACTGACAGTACATGAAAGAAGACATAGTGGAGAAAAGCCATATCCATGTCCAGTTTGTAAAGTTTCCTTTGCACATTCAACTGCTATGAAAATGCATGTAAGACGTCATACTGGAGAAAAACCATTTAAATGTCTGGTTTGTACCAGTACAGCCTTTACACAATTACCACATTTAAAAAAACATATGTTAACTATACATAAAACAGACAAACCATACCTGTGTGTAAAATGTAATTCATATTTTAAAACAAAAACTCAGATAATAACTCATGAAGAAACTTGTTCACCCAAACAAGAATCAAAAGAATTTATTCCCCCAGGTATGGCTTTAGATCGGATGCGCATGTTATTAGCAGTTTTACTGATTCGCATATCAACCACTGAACGTTTAAATGCATTAGGATTTGGAAAAAGACTTATAGATTTAGTACTGTGCGATTCAATTGAAAATTCTGGACGTAATCCTTATCGTGGAAATGACCTAAGTGAAAATGATTTATTGAAAAAAAACATTGAAATATTATTAGACTGGACTGTCCCTAAAATTTATATGGATCGGTTCAGGAGTGAACGACGTACAACTGAAGAAATTTTAGAGGAACTAACGTCGTGACTTTAGTATATTAATTAACATGCCTATCACTTGTAAGCTTTACTATAATTTAATATATATATATATATATTTTTTTTATGAAAAACGTGCCATTTTCAGGTTTTATATTATTTTTAAAATAATATGAATTATTTGTTTTTTTTTTTATTATAAATTTAATGTTATCAGTGATCTTAACAGTGCATTTTGATAACAATTATGTATTTATATAAAAAACCTTAAAATGGTACATAAACACCAGACTTAATGAATCATTTTGTATAATGAAATGTATAAGCTACTTTTTCTTCTGCAACTATCTTGCATTGCTCTATTTAAAATTATAGCTCAAAAATGGTGGTGGTAATTGAGTTTAATATTAAATTTTGTATAATGTAAATAATATCTGATATTTATTTTAATGTATGTTCAAATCAAGGGATGTTTATTATGTAATATAAAACAATTACAATAAATATATGAAACTTAATAACATATAAAGCTTCTTTCAATTGGTAATGGAAATATTAACTTCTAATAATATATTGGTGTTGGTTTTCACAATTGTTAATATTACAATAATGTACACTTCCCTTGCTTTTTGCTCTAATTTATTGTCATTTGTAGTTTGATTTTAAGACATCTAGTTAATTTTATTTTTTATTCAAACCAAAATGAATTGTTTTTAGGTGTTTGTTAACAACTTGGATGCCAAAGTTTAGGAGTTAATTAATTTTGAATTTTTATTTTTTGTAAACTAAAGACTAAAGTGGATTACCAAAGAATAACGTTCTAGTCACACCAGAAAAATGGTGAGAACCGTTACTTTATCATAACAATTTAACATTTTACAAAAAAGTCAATTTTCACATTCAGACAAATTTTTTTTTAAATTTCCAATTTATTATTTACGATATAAAGTTCTCATTTGTTTTTACATTGACATTTATTTCTCTAGTAACAATTAAAATATAATTAATAGTAAAAACAAATTATTTTTTTCGTAATTCTAAAGTGACAATAGACAAGTTTTTTTTAGTTATGTTATGAATAGGTGAATAAAACAGAATATTATTAAGTTTTGTTGATACTATGGTAAAGAATATTTATATACTTATGATTTTTTTGTTATATTAGTTTAAAATTAATTTTGTTGTGTTCAATTTTTTTTTCTTCATGAATTATTTATCTATTATTTTAGTTTTATCAAAAAATATATATTGTATTGATCATTAGAATTTATAATTATAAAAATCTAAATATGTAATTAGTGTGTGCAAATTAGTGAATGAAATATAACTAATCAGATTTAGAATTAAATACAAATTATACTTTAGGTTACCAATGGGTGTGCAAACAATATATTTATCATGTATTGATAGTTTTTTAAGAACTTTCATTGTTTTAATATCTACTTTTTGTTTTGATTAAAAACACAGTTTTTGAACAATATACATGTGTATTATATTTTTTTATGTCAACAATATAACAATCCCAATGAACATTTAAAAAAATACATGTTTTAAAATATTATCATTCATCACTAACTGTCCAATTTGATGAAAAACTTTTTTTCTTTTTCATGCAAGATTTAATTTTTTTATTTTGATGGTCATTTATTGATAATATTCTTTTGACTTTCTGTGTTTCCTTGGGTTGACTTACACCCACAATAATATCATTTTTGATTTCCACTTCTTCCTCTGATTCTTCATTTTTTATATTTTTTGATTTTCTGTAAAAATAAAAATTAATTATCATAAAATATTTAATAATATAAAGAATGAAAAAAACAATTGACATGGTTAACAATTATTTAAGTCTTAAAATATGTAATACAAATCAATAAGAAAAATAATAAAATAATTTTTAATCTGATGAAAATATACAACCAGACTACTAAAATGGTTAATTTTGTTAAATAGAAAATTAATAACAATGTTATTTTTTTTATAATAATTTATTTATATATATTTATTATTTGATTATTGATGATTCATCAAACAATAATTATTTAAAAAGTATAAATAAAGAAAAAAAGAATAGAAATGTTATAAGTAATTTACAAAATGTTAATAAGAATATAGTGATATCAATTAATATGGAAATATATATATATTGTATTGATTTAATTTAGACTATTTAGTATTTATAGTTATAACTAGGGCCGACAGTTATATGCCCTAAAAATCTATAAAATATTATGTATTATAGATAATGACAATGATTTATACAAACGTGTGGTTCTATGAAAACCAAACAAAAATGTTTTAGGTTATTAATAAAAATAATAATAACAAATTAATCAAATGATAAACATTTTAATTCTTATCCGATATTATTGCATTGATCAAATCAATATGACTTGGAGTTTTTAAAAAAAAATATTGTTTGATTTTAAATCGTCAATTTAAGAAAAAATATAATATGTGATATTGTTATGCGATCCAGGTTAGTGATAACCTTACGTATTTTTATTAATAAGTTGAACTATTCATAATTAAGTGGATGTATGAATGAAACAAATTAATAATTTTATTAATATTTTAGTGATTCTCGATTCAGCGACTCTTTATAATCCTTAATATGACTAAAAAATTTACAAAATCCTATAATATGCCCTGAAAATACAAAAATACCATAATATGCAAAAATATGATACATACAATTTATATAATAGTATATAGCATAATTAGGTTATAAAACACATTTTGGTACAAACAAGCTATTTTTTTTTACCGATCAGTAAATATATGTAAATGCATACAAGTGTTGGTCCTAGTTATAACATATTAGCTATTAATTATTTATAAATTATTTATTATACTACTATATTAATAGATTAGGATTAGGTATTTTCTTCTATAAAATAAAAAACTATCAAAATAGTGGCAAATACAAATAACAATATTGTTTTGAATAAAGTATTAGATTATTAATATGTAATTACTATTTATATTTACATGAAAGAATTATTACATGCTATGCATGTAATTCTGCAATCCAAGAATAAAGAACAACTTTCAACAGGCTTTTTACTGTCATTAAGTTTCCAGACAGTAACATGACCATCACTTAATGCTGTCACAAGCCAATTGTCAACTTTTATCAAGCATTTCACTCTGATATCTCCAATTTTCATTTCCCATATTCTTTCTTTTTTAATAATATCATAACAATGCAGTGAACCATTTTCTGAGCCAAAACATATCAAATTTTCCTATAAAAATAATAAATAATTTTCACAAAATAAATTGAGTACAATTAGTATTACCATTAAAAATGTAACGCCATGTATTTTTTCATTGATTTCAATAGTCAAAGCAATACCTGCAGTTTCTACATTATAAATTATTAACTTTGTATTTAAAGGTAAAGCATAATACTGTCCAGCTGGCGACCATATAATTTTGTCGAAAAAGTAATAAGCACTCATACTGATGTAAAAACAAATAAATAAATAATTTAATCCATTTTACAGTTCGTTTTTACAGTTCACTTACCTAGAATGATTTGTAGTATATGCAGGTCTACCTTTAACTAAATTCCAAGTTCTTAAAGTTTTATCTTTTCCAACAGATAATGCTAATTTACCACTAGGATGAACTGCCAAGTGTGCAACAGCTACAATAACATTAAAATATATTATTTTATAAATATAAATAATATACTTTCATCACGGCTTAAATCAAAATTAATTTTAGTTAGACAGTGACTTGTAACTCAAGTATGTTTCCTACAGCTGATCAGTATACTCAGACAATTATTTGTCACTTGTACAAAATTAAAAAAATATAAATCAAATTAATGAACAACAATATATTGGAATACTCAATACATAGATAATTTTATAATAGTTTTAAAAATCAATTTTAAATATTTAAATTAATGCCAGCGTACCTAATCCTTTATGAGCTTTATCCCAAAGTTTCTTTATCTTCCATGTGCCAGTCTCAAACATGGCTATAGACCCATCATCGCTGGTACTGATTAAATGCGATTCATCTGGAGTAAATGCAAGAGATGTTACTGTACCATTGTGCTGTAATATTGTATGCACATGGCATCGCCTGACCATGTTATATACTTCTATTGTCTCATCCGTACTACTAGATACCATGTATTTAGACGAACATGCTACTGAACGGATACTTGCCTGATGCACATGGTCATTAAATGATTGCACCAATTCCAATTCTTTAGATTTCTAAGTGTTCATGAAGACAAAGCATATATGGTAAGTCATCAAAAAAGAATAGGAAGAAATATTGATTAACACTAACTTGGCTTTTGTAACGGAATTTGATACCGATCACAAATGATTCATAACTTCCAAGAATTATTTCAAAAATATCCATAACGTGTGTATATTAGAAAAACAAAAGCATAATATCAGAAAAATATTTGAAACACATAACTTAATAAAACCACGTTTATTTTAAAATATGATAACAATTTACAAAAATTACCTATTATAGATACTATCTATATTATCGATTTTTTTTTTTATATTTTATCACCATGAGTTATCACTAAATTTTTTAGACAACAAACTACAATGATCTTTCATGTGACATAATTATGATAATTTATAGTCGATCCAAGTATAACGACCATTAGGAACGTTATTAAATGTAATTATTTTAAAATTTATTTAAAACATTCAACGCCCTGTGTGGTAAGTGTCTATGGTGCATGACATATTATTTAGCCCATCACATCCCATCCTATTTAACATTTGGAAATATAGTTACCATACATATATTACACTACTGTGAAATCAATCCATTTCTGAACTTCCTCTGATGACAAACATGGTAAAAAGATCAGTGTAACATGATACTCATGACACTTGTACCGTGAATTATAACAGTAAATACCTTGTTCTGTTGTATTTATTTATTTATTTATTTTTTTTTTTTATTTAAATAGGTATACCTACTTGATATTTGTAAAGTATCAACAAACTTACATTGTCGTGATGAGAAGTAATAATTAAATGAAGCATTCAAATAAATGTATTTTGACTGCTAAACTGTCAATTAACTGACATGTCTTTTCTGCCTGAAGTAATTAAATTATAAATTTATGTATTTAGTATTAGTTACATCATTTTGTTCATACATATAGCAATATTATTTCCTTTCAGAAAGAACCTCTGAAGTTTGATGTTAATCTTTGTGGGGCTCCTGAGGAGATTATTCATTTAGTAGATAATATAAAAAAAGTATGATCTCATATTTAAGTAATTAATAAAAAAATATATGTGTTAAATTAATAATTGTTCGATTTTAGGTTGGAGAACAATTTTTATACCATTGGAAAACATTTCCAATCGTTTTACCTCCTACAGCCATTACAACAAAATGTCAAATAAATGGAAACGATTCAACTTATGGCTCAGGTATGTATTTCAAATTAGACTATTTTATAAATGATGAATGATTATTATTATTTTTTATTTTGGCCAAGGAACAGATTCAAATTGTACCCTTGCCAGGCGAGCCATAACATCTATCCGTTCAATCAATTGTCGAGATTTATTTGTACCACCGTCTTTTGATGAATTAGATGCAGTTGCTATTAACACTAAGGGCGAACCTAGACACTTAAATGCTAAGCAGCTAGAATCGTTACGTGAACGAGGGTAAGTTCACTTCATAAGTATAATTCCTAAAACCCTGTTTAAATGAACCTTAAAATTCTGTTATAATTAAGTCTGGACAAGGACATACATGGAAAACCAAAGAAGTTGAATTCAAAACAATTGGATACTATACGTAAATTAGGGTATGTCAAGGTTTTGACAAAAAATTTTAGGTTGTTGGTTATTGTTTGATTTTATTTTAGTTATGCAGTTTATTTTTTGTATTTAATTAATTATACTCTATTTTACCTTAATATTACTTTTATAATATCTTATATTTATTTTTTTTAAGGGAATTTGAAGTGGCTAGTATTAACTTTGTGGGTCAAACACACAAATGGAGGTTAACAGAATGGTTACAAAAAGGAACAGAGAGAAATCGAGAAACACTTTTAGATGATTTAGCATTTTCTTTACAATTTTTATTAGTAACTGCAAGAGCTAGACTATTTTCACATTTTTTTAGCATAGCAGATTCTATAAAAGCTATACTAACTGGTGTAATTAAATTAATTGGTAAACATTAATCAATTCTAAAGTGGTTATTCAATTTTTAAATTTAATTTTTACCAACAGATATAATATTTGGAGTACCTTCTTTGCAAGCACACAATTTACCAGAAAAAATAAGAGAAGAACGCTGTCGTTATTTAGTTGCTGAGTTAATTTGTCGAGTAAGTGACATTAATTTGATTTATGAAATAATTAATAGGTATATTGTTTAATTTGTTTCATATTCCAGCCAGAATTAGAACATGCTTTAGAACATTTAATAAGTTTTGTACGAAAACAGTTGAGAAAAGCAGCTACTGAAAAATTCGAGCCATCAAAGGAAGCTATGTTTCCTCAAATTCCTATTCCATACCAGTTTTTAACACCTAAAGTATTGCATAAAGTAAATCTGTTTTGAAACTAAATTAAAATAAAAATGTTTATAATAGCATGAAGAAATTGATCTAAGACTTTTTAATCGAGATATAATGAAAAAAGCATTGCCTGTGATAATGGGATTGTTAGAACGTGAAACAAGAGGTTGGTTCCTACATTTTAGAGAAAAGCTCATTTATGAATTGAAGGCACAGAAATTATCCGATGAAGAAATTGAAAAAGTAAAGATATTTAATTAAAACAAATTTAATTTTAATTCATTGTACTTTCGTGCTTAATTTCAGTCCGTTAATGAAGCTGTAATGAAAGAGTATTTACAGCGTGTTTATAAAAGTATAATCAATAATAGTGAACTACAAATGTTAGGTGATGGAATTCCTAAGTTATTGATTAATCAGGCACAATGCATTGTTCTTATGCACAGGTAAAATAATGTGATACTCAAATTTAAAATATTGTAAATATTTATTCAAAATACTTATATAGAGCTGTTGAAAATGTACAAAGAAAAATTATCAAACAAAAAAATACACTATCTCAAAGAATGCAATACACTTATCCTGTTTTATCACGTATTGGACCTTGGATGAGAGACAAGCAAAGAATTGCTGAGGTTGTGAAGTAGTTATTTACTTCTTAGGTTACATTATTATTAATTTAAATTTATACATTTCAGGAAAAGTTTATTCAAGAATGTCAATGGAGTGCTCATGAAGAAGCATTGACTCTTTGCAAAGAATACAATTTACATCAAGCCGTTTATTTTTTACAAAGAGATTTAACTTTTATGAGAGAAGTATGTGAATTTTAAGTATAAAATAAATATGTAATGTATAATATTTTAAATAATAGAGAAGTGTTATATTATGTGATAAGAGAATTCCAATGAAGTTGAAAGGTAAATTTTATGGGAGTGTAGTGAGTCCAACTATGTTATATGGTTTGGAATGTTGGGCAGTTGACAGAAAAAGAAAACAGAGTATTGTGAAAATGAGAATGCTAAGATGCAGTGTTTATTTCAGGGGGGTAATACCTCCCCAGGGAAAATGTATACCCCCCTCCCAAAAAAAATATATGACATTATTACGTAAACTACAAATAATTGTGATGTGATAATATGTGAAACGAGTTATTGTACAATTGTGAGTTATTTTGTGTGTCACAGTTGATAAAAAAATAAAATAAATATTAAGTATAAGTATTATTATATATAAATATTGTTTTAGGGTATTACCAGTAGTATCTGGTAATTCAAATTCAGGTTATATTAATGTCACACTAGAAATAAGCTAGCATAAACATTTTTTTAATTTTTTCTATTAAGCATGTAAGCAAATTATTATTATAGGTATCTCAATGAATATAAAAGAGAGGATATACTAATAAAGTAGTTCTTCCATGGTAGTCAGTAGATACGATGACTATGGAAACATATGCGTTATTTTAATTGTTACTTTTATAAAAATTATATTTATTGTGTATATAAGTACGATTTTTTTCAGCATATACGACATACCTTTTCGTTTATCAATAGTCAATTAATGTGTACATCAACATAGTTGATTTTAGATACCTTATTGCATGTGGATAATTTTTAAAATGTACTGTTGTCTGTCGATGTTTATGTTAACGTATGTTTAGTAAATGTTGTTCTATTTTTTTTTTCACACAATTAACCAGTTAGATTTTTAAGAATCCACGTATTCATAGGTATCTATCTAATACCAATAAATTGAGTTTAAAACGATACTTTTACTTCCCTAATTATTTACTTCTAAGGCATACCCCTTTGGAAATGTACGATACCCTCCTGGGATAGAAGGTCTGAAATAAACACTACTTAGATGGCTGAATGGAGTGATAAGAGAAATAAAATAAAAGACAAATATGTGAGAGGTAAAGTATGGGTGTAGCGTCTATGTAGACAAGATGAGAAAAAATAGACTGAGATGGTTTAGGCATGTAATGAGACGAAAGAATACAAAAACGGTTAGAGTGGTTATGAAAATGAATGTTGAAATGAAAAGAGGAAAAGGAAAACCAAAAAATAGATGCTTGGATACAATTAAGAATGATATAAGGGCTATTGGTGTATGTGTAGAAGATGTAGAAAATCGAGATGAATGGAGGTTTAAGACAGGTGGCCGACACCAAATAATTAGAAGTAAAAGAAGTATATTATATTAAATATTAGTTTTATGAATGACAATAATACATATAAAATGTAATTATATGATTTAAGAGAGAACCAGTTTTATCTAAAGAGCTTAAAGCTGTAAAAATACCAACTAGAACTTTTCATTGGTTAACGCAAATTTGGCATCCAAGTAATTGGATTGTACGAAGATCATTCCAAGGTCAGTCGGAAACCATACCAACTATTTTAAGTTCAACAGCCACAGCTATTACTACACCTAGATCAAATCCCTGTCAAGTACGTAAATTATCTGTAGTAAAAAAATATATTTGATCATAATTTACATTTTCAGGCTGTATTTTTAGTGGAAAAAGAAATTACTCGCTCAACAACTACCAGGTGGCCATTCTGGAGAATAATAAATTACTTCTATCGGACATGGACATGGACATGGAATGCAATGTTTTTCTTTGGTGTTAGTAACTTAAAATCTCCCTGCTATATTATTTAAAATATTTTTAATACTTCTTATTGAACATGACTTATTTGAAAATAGGTGGTCATACCATGGTGTAGTCCTGTAAGTGTGCGTTCATTGTTCTGTTCAGAATCTTTTTATCCTGATTTAGAATTGTCACAAGTTAATGGTACATTATTTCCTAGAAAATCATCACTAACCTCTACACTCCTATCTAGATTAAACTTACTTTGGCGACACATATCAAAAAGCCGAACTCATTTTGAAACAAAACCTGATACAGGTAAAATGCTCATATGATGATTATAATTTTATTAGTAATGTTTAATATTATTTTTTAGGATTTATTGGTAAAGGAATGACAAGACATTTAAATCGCATTTGGAATTATGTAATTAAAGGAATTCTAGGTACATTGGCTATGTTGATAATATTTCCAATTATATGTCTCTCTGCAAGTCTTGGAAGTCTTATGGTGGCTATAACTGGTCCTTTATGGTAACTGCCTCATAGCTTAATTTTGAATAGAAATGTTTTTTAACAAAATATTCTTGCAGGATGCCTTTAGTAACATTATTATTACATGTATTCAATGGCTTAATTTATGATTTGGATTCGCCAGCTGAATGGAAAAACAGATACTTTGTTATAATTGAAGCAGTAATATGGAATATAATTATACAGGGCATTTTACAGCCACTAATAGCATGTTTGATTGCTTTCGTATTATGTCCTATAATTACAGTCATTTTATTCTTTGGTTAATATAATAATTTATATTACCATACATTCTATTCAATAACTATATTATTTTAATAATCTTAAATTTATTCTTGTTTTTTTAGTTGCATTGCTGAGGTATTGGTTTCGTCTAGCATGGGATAGCATAATTTATCATTTAGTTATAAAAAAACGTGGACGAATACCTGCTTGTGATAGTTTTATTGTCAAACGAGTTGCTGGTCCAGGTATGGCATCAGATTATTATTTTCAAATTCGACCTGAACAAGCTTTAGCTGCATTTGAAGCTAAAATGGAACTGGATGAATTGAATGCATATCAAAATCTTATGGAACAAAAAATTCAACAGCCTCAAAAAGATTTTGCACGTTTTGTTGATGTATGTTTTGGACCATTTAGTGCACATTTAGCTAAAAATGGAGCTTATCGAGTGCTGGAAAAAGAAGCACAAGATTTAATGTCAGCTCTCCATGACAAATTAGAAAGGAGATTAAGAGAACTTCAATCTGGTTTGTCTACAACCCTAAAATCAAAAATTAGACTTACTTCTAAGGATCTTAAAGTAATATTAAAATCTTACATCAATTATACGAATCATATAATAAATGTTATATTTGAAAAATTACTTAGGTTACAGTTGCTTTAGCATCAAAAATGTTGGAATATTGGTATCCTCAACATGTAATTCAAAAATTATCTACTAGTGAAGAAGAATTTTGGGAATCTAAAGGAATTACAATAAATGATTGGTCTGCTCTTGCTGTTGTATTTTTTACAGATATATTCAGCTTAGATTTTCTCACGCCATTAGATGATACAGATACAAAATTTAAATTGGAGGTAATTCACTTTTAAAAAATGTTAATTTAAATTTATAATGATATATTTTGTTTAGACTGAGCACAGTGTAGACTTATCCCGATTTTCTAATGCTATTCATACTATTAATTTTGATGGACAAAGTTCAGAAATGTTAGGTCCATTATACTCATCTCGTGGTAATATTCAAATACAATCACCATATTTGGAAATTTCTGCATTTAATCCTCGTTCAAAGTTACTGCACTGCAAATTCAAAAAATTAGATAATGCTTGGTAAAAAAAATAATAATAATACAATTTTTAACACAAAAAACTATTTATATTTTCGTTTTTTTAGCAATAGCATTACGTACACAATGTTATTAGGGGGACGTTTTAAAACTGGTACACGTAAACACAAAGCATACTTGGGAACAAATTCAGCACAATCATCTCAACTAAACAAATCTCGGCCGTGGAAACGATCTCAACAGCCATACATGGCAGATAAAATGTGTATACCCTTACCTGTTCCTCATCCAGCTCATATTGCTCTCATTATACACAACCGTGATTCAGAATCTCCCATCCCTCTAGAGTCGGAAAATTGCATTGGAATCTTGCGGTTCGTTAAATAGTTTAATTTATTATTTATTAATATACTAATAATATTAACTTTGCTTTACATTTTTAGAGCATTAGAAGATCGATCATCTGATCTTTTATCAACTGACTATATTCTGGCCAGCAGTTTTGATAGTACAGATTCTCATAGTTCACTGACATCAGAAAGTGCAGAACCCGAAGAACAAAACGTTAATGTATATAACTGGCAACGTGATGACTGGATGTTACGAACACGACAAACTGGAGCAGTACGGGTAGAATTAGCATCACCTGAAGATATAAGTCTTGATTCCGAATCTACTCGTGTTGTATTTGGTACATTAGGAACAACCGTATGACTGAGATAATATATACTTAATAAAATCAATTTCATGACAAATAAAAAAATAATTTATAAAATATACTTTTCATTTAAAAAAACACCAAATAGTTTATTAATTATGTTAATAAAACTAATATAACTTTAGATTGGTAGTACCTGCAATATTTGTTATAGATATATATTAGTGTATACAACAAATACAATAATCATTATTATGTATAAATTATATATAAATGTATAACCAACATACATTTTTTTCGTGTTTCTAATATACTTCCTCGCATTTTTTTATACATTAAGTACAATATCAATTTCTTAATAATGATCTAGTCATAATCTATGTTTCAGTTTATAGTTTTCTATAATAATAATAATTATTTATTTGGCGAAACTCATTAATAATTTAAGTACATCTAATTAAATTAATACATTAATTTTAATCTTTACCTTTCTTACGTTATACTTAATTTTAATTTCTTCTACTTTTTCTTTTATTTGTGTTTGTGCCAAAGATGAGTTTTCTCAGCTTAGATAAATATATGTTATTCTATATAATGTATATGCTTATTGAAATTTACTCTAATTTTTTATTATTATTTTTTTTTTTTTATTTTAGTTTAATATAGTTTATTTTTATTTTTTTAATACAGATATTTATATTATAATCTTGAAATTTTATCTTAACCATAATATTACTGTTTTGTAGATTATTATATGTTTATGCATAATTTTTAATTAAAAGAAAAACAAAATGTTTTCAGTACATTCAATGAATGTATTATTAACTTATAATTTTTAATCAGAGTTACTTGGTTGTGGCTGAACCTGTAAAACTCAGCAAATATTTTTTAACTTGTAATAATAATATGATAATGTTTCAAATATAATAAATATATATATATAAGTATGTAACTGTTTTGATACACTACAACAAACATTTATGTATACTGTTGATTATTTTATTTTTATTAATTTTCTCTTAGAATTTTGCTTATCAATAATATTCTGTGTATAGATCATTTGTGTGCATGCATACATGTATATCATTGTTCTTTACTTAAAATAATACTATAAAAATAAAATATATTATGAGAAAATAATATTGTTATTTATTCTTATAATTTTCATTCTGAACAAATTTTATATTGTTGAAAGATATTTTATCTTTTTAATTAATTTCAGTTTAATTATATCATTCTATATTTAAAGAATTAAATACATTTATTTTTGATAAAATTCGAATAGTAATGTAATCCCAACAAAATAGTATATTTTAGTAGATTGGTTACCAGGTATTTCTCAAACTTATTTATTATAATGACCCTAAATGTAATATCTAACAGTCAGTGGCGGCTCGTGACTTGGACCACGGGACGATCGTACCACCTACTATTATTTATGAAATGAAGAAAATGAATTCTGATTGTAATAGTGCTACTATTAATAATTTGTTAAATTATTTAATACACTAAAATGGTGGTTTTCAAATAATCAAAATAATCATTTTATAAATGTTGTTGATGCGATCTCAGCGATTACCATGTGCCTATACCATAAGTGCGAATGCGCCACATGCATACCAACCCATCACTGCTGAGTGATCGAGAAAATCTGAGCAAAATCATCGTGGCCCTGGCTACTTCATATAATTGTAGAGATCATGTTCAGCCGCGCGAACGTATGCGTGCGTATCGGATTATCCCGCGGGTACATCGCGTCGTCCAAACATAAAATATCAATGATAACTATTTCCAAACTAATCTGATCAGTTTACCCGCGTATTACGGTTTCCGATTATGAGATTAGGAATTGCAATACAAAATCTCCAGCCTCACTTCACTCTTATGGAAGATTGGTACACCAACTGGCGATTTAAAATAAATCTGTCCATACGACGTTCACCCTCAGATTTGACCCCTGCGCTGATGTTTTCATTTATGAGACCCAAATTCTAGTTACATATAATAAAAATGTAATATTAAAAATTATTTACCGCCCTAGCTTATAGTTTTTACTAGGAAATACGGCACTAGCTCTAAATACTAAATATCTTGGTTTAACCCTCAATAAAAGGAAGGCTCACCTGGGCCCAACATATCAAATCCAAAAGAGTGAATTTGGAACGCCAATAGGCATGCATTTCGATATTAGCATATTATTATTTCATCGACGCTCGTTTCGATTCAATGCTATTGAGCGTTTCGTATTATTCTACCTATTACTATTGTACCTATCTAATACTCGCTAATACCTGTGTAGTTCTAACACGCGGCACGCTGGTTTATAAACTATATTTTAAAGTTACTGTCAACTTAAATATTTATACGTATGCATAAACCAAAAAATATTATACAACATTGATTTCTTAATACATTCCGTAATTTCATTATGTGATACACATATAAAGTTAATAAGTAAAATATACTAAAGGCAGATAATTTATATTAAAATAAAATTTAAATTATAGAGTTGAATTTGTCAACATGTGAATCACTGTTGATTTGTTTTAGAGGAAATTATGATGGCCAGTCTTGCTAAAATTTAAACTGAACCTACCTATTGTAGCGGATAGAAAACAATTTTATCTGTATGTAAATTAGTAAGTAGATGGGGTGTGAGGGCGTAGCCTCTACAGGTCTGTGTTATCTTGGTACCTAAGGCCACCACAAAATGTAAGCTCTAGTTGTGCCTATGCTTACCTAGTCGTATACGTACTGCATTACGTACGCTAACCTACCAACTGATTTAATGACAATGGTAACTATAGCTAACTCGACAATATCGATTAAACAATTTTACCATTGAACTCTACAGTAATAACTTTGTAAGTTATAAATTAGTTATAACGTATATTTTACATAAGCACTTATTTAAATATTTTTTTTTATTTCGGGTATTTTCATACTACGTTTTAAGTAAGTATGAATAGTAATTTAAATTCAAAGCCTTCAGATCTTATGGACGAAGGATCTTCATTGACCAATGATGATTATTCTTTTGGTGACCCTAACGAGTAGGATGATTTTTAAATATGTATAGTAGAACTAATAAAGTTACTAGTATTTCGTATAATTTGTAGAGGACTTGAGTTGAATAAACGTTCAAAATTCATAAATGCATTAGAGGTTTCACATTTAAAAGAGTTAAAAATGTATTTTTTTCATTACGATAACAAAGAACATCCATTAAACAAAGCCGATTTTGTTGCAGCAATATGTTCAGTGATTGGTAAGTAAAAATGTACTACGGTATACTTTAAAAAATATATATATATAAAAATAATCGCATTATTAATCATTATTAAATCAAAAGTTTTAATTCTCTATTTGTAATGTGTTCATTATTTAGAATATAAATATAATTTAAAATACTGCAGGGAATAGTTCATACGTACACGAAGCCGAAAACTTTTTCGAACAAATGTGTGTTGAAGATTTTCACACAAAAAATGATGTAATTCTTTGGAAACAAATTTTAAATGAAATTCGATACAGTACATCTTTTTTTGAAGAAGTTTGGGACGTATTACCTTTCGACCAAACAAATATAATCATGCATTTAATGTCACACTGTAAAGTAACTATACAACTTAAATATAGTTATGTCAAAACATAGTAAAATAGTAAACTGTAGTTATTTATTATGTCCAATAGTTTAGGTAATGTGCTATTAATTACTGGCTTTATTAATACCAACAAAAATCAGAATTATGTTAAATCAATTTAATTAAGTATGTACCTATTAAAGTCTATTAAAGTAGATAATTGATGTATATAAAATTATAATATTTACAACTAATTAATAAAACTAACACCATTGGTCATACTCGTATATTTACTTGCGTAAAAAACTATCTCATAAAATATCTGAAAAAAATCGCTCAGCGTTAAAGTATATCTCAGAGTTTGCATTAATGTATAGTTGTACACAAACTGTGCAGTTCTTATTTAAAAGTTGTGCAGTTCATAAAAAATATTATATGATTTGAATTTTTAATAATTAATTCTATATATCTATGAGTTTGGAACATAGGTACCATTTAATATTATTTTTTTTCCGGAATTATTAGAAATTATGATTAAATCAAATTTGAGTCAAATTTTTTCACTTCTATAAAACAAACTGGATGTGCAGCTCTGATATATCTACAATTTATGTTCAATAACTAGTTAGGTACAATAAAACGCATAAAGCGATATGATTGAAAATTCTAATAGCTATGTATGTACATTTTCACAGCACGAGTCCATAGTCAAAGTGATTAGCATAGAAACTGAAGAATTTTTTTGCTACACTGTTTTCTCTCGATTGGGCCAAGTAGGCATCTACGATGGTCATCTAAACTTATTAAGGCACTACGCATTGCAACTATCTCAATGCCCCGGTGACCCAGTACGGACAACCCATCGGCGACGTAATATTTGGATTAATGATGCTGTATACATGCCAGATGCCCAATTCATAACTATTGCAGCATCCGATGGTTCCATTCATTTCGTGGATACCGTTTGTCTTGTTCACGTGCCAACTTTTTGTATAAGAGGTGAGTAACAAATATAACTTTCCTATTCATCAAAATTGTCCACAAGTGTAACTTGTTATAGTTTTTAATTTGAAACCAATGATTCTATACAGGTTTAAAAACCACGCCGATTTGTTTAGAATATTGTGTCGGTAATTCTTCACTTTTATTTATTGGTGACGATAAAGGCAGCATGGCTCACATACAATTTCTTCAACCGAAACGATCGTTATTCAAACGAGATCCAACGAATAAAGTTGACACTTATTTGTGGAAAGTAAGTGCGTGTACATGTTGAAAACAGGACTGGAATTAATAAGTAACAATCATTGGGAAGAAAAAGGGTGAAACCATTGACGTAATTTCAGAGTTACTTACTCGGGTGGTGGTACTTTTGAACGTTACCAACGAATAAAATTGAATTGTTCCGTCATATAGCTATTATACTTTTGAAATAAATACTAAATACAAAATGCTATTTGTCACCGTAGTTATTAAATTCTACTATATTTATTTCTTTTACTACCTACTTGATAGGACTTTAGTATTTTAAAATTGAATTACAACTAATACCACATACTTTTTATAACATCAAGATTTTACACTTGAAATTGCATTTTGTGTATTTAATACTTATCTATATGATTTTGCTCTTAAGTTGTATTTTATGAATTTGTAAGAATGTACTTTTCTACATAATTTATTAGATACTAGTTCAAAAAGTTTTTATTTTATTCAATCTAATCTTTATTAATATTTACGTTTTTTTGCTATAAAAATACATAATTATTTAGTGCAATAAAAATACTTCAATATTATCTTTTTGACAAAAAATGTACAGTGTTTTGTATTAAGTGTGCGCTTTTATTTTATAAACTTAATTTAATACTTAAACAAATTTATAGGAATTAGAATCTCAACAAGAATGGGTCAAAGTATATTCATGTAGTATTCCAATTCACCCAGATAGTATAAAATGTATTATTTACTGTCAATCAGATGAAGCTTCTATAAGTTGTTGTCAAGATAACAAAAAATCTCTAGTTATCAAACATATAAGAGATGAATGGGACCCATATATATTTCACATTCGTCATGTATTAATATAAAATAATATAAATATCAAACATATTTTAATCACTAATTAATTAAAATGTTTAATAGGGTGTTCAATGTTTTCGTTACAACGCAACTCTCAAATTATTAGTGACTGGAAGTTCATGTGTAGTTTACATTTGGAATCCAGTGTTAACAAAAATGTACCTTGCTAAGTTAGAGGGACATAAAAAAACGGTTATAGATGTCCGAATTTTTGAACATTTAAATCTTGTAATTAGCATTTCAAAAGATGAAGTAATAGATATTATCAAACTAATTTTACTGTTTAAGACATTTATCATTTGTATCAGGTATTAAAAGTATGGAGTTTAAATACCTACGTTTGTTTACAAACAATTCAATTTGATTTTCCCGTCTATAATGTACTCGGGAAATCAGTTGAATTTAGTATTCAAACATTTTATCCAGGACCAATCATAAAAAAACCACCTGAAGAACAAGCTTCATTAAAATCTATTGATGCAAGTAACATAACAAGTGTACCAACAAGTGTTTACATGCCTAAGTAAGTAAATTAGACTATAAGTATAAAACTCAACATTTTAAGGAAATAAACCTAATATTTCTAGAGAAAACTGGGAGTCTGAAGTATTGTTAATTGTTTGCTCTAACTATATAGCAACATTAAAACAAAATGTAAAGAACATTTCTCAGAATCATTCTCCTCTACCACCTCCAATAGAAAATAAAAAACCAGCACTTCCATCAGAATGGAGTTTAAGTGATACCGATCAAATATCTACTGATGAAATTGATAGCATATTTATAGAATCACCTAAAATAGAAAATCAAAAAATTAAAAATTTGTTTATAAAATCAAGACCTCCATTAGATCATGAAGCTTTTAATTTGGAAACATATAAAAAACCGGTTAATACTAGAATGAAAAACCATGTAGACGAAATGGTGAAGAATGGTACACCTTACTTAGCAATGCGTTTAAGTCCTGTATATAGATTAGAATTTTCTAAGAATCTTATATTAAGTGAAGAGACAAAATCTAAGTTTCCTTTAATGGAAAAAATGGATGAGATATTTTGTGATGGGATTGCATATGATACAAAAATCAATTTACTTGAAAAGGAAGAAAATAAAGAAACCTCTATAAATATAACAAATTTAATGGAAATAATTAACCAGTTAGAATTGGATGACGATGATGATAACATTGAAAGTATTATATGCAAATATATTTAATAATCATAAAGTGTTATTGTCATAAAAAAAAAAATCAATAAAATAGTAGATAGTAATATGTAATCAATAAAGTTGTATAAGAAACTAATTAGATTGATTTTAAATCATCTACAAATATTATTAAAAGTTGTAAAATAATCAAAGAAATATTTAAATTTATAAAATACTGAGAGATAAGAACAGAATAATTCTACTCAAACAAAAATTCCTACATTAACATATGATTCTTATAATATGTTAAGTTTCTGCATTAAAACATTTAAAAAGTAAGTTATTACAACATAATAAATCCAACAGAAATGTTATAATATGTACCTACTAACTATAATATAATATAATATATAAATATTAACACAATTTTAAAGTATCTGCTTCAACTAATATAAATAGGTACTATTTTTTAATTTGACTCTTTGTCCTAAAAATAGTAGACAGTTTACATGGTAAATTTTTGGGGAAATTAAATCTTCATCATATTCAAAAGTGAATATTATGATTGATTATATTTTTGATTATTATTTATTATTATTGCTAATGTTATATTTTAAAAAATATTTTTTTGCTCCATGATAAGTATTATTTAATTATTACTAAGTAGATACCTAAATACATACATTTAATATCGTAACTTAGAGTTGAAAAAATCAGTTGAAAAACTATTCAATTTTCGATATTATATTACAAAATGTTCTTGTTTTCTCATTTAAATTGAGGTTTTATGTTTTATTTTAAATATATATTTTATTATACTTCATTTATTCATTCTACAAAATAAATAAAAAAAACACTGTATTTTAAATTTCCAAGAAATTGTAATATATATTAAGATTATTAAAGAATATTACTCAAATTAAATAAATAATTTATGAATTATATATAATATTAAGAAGAAAGTTAACATAATCAGTTGCTTTATTATTGGGTAGGTAACACATTTAATATGAATGTAATAAAATTAAATTCTATCTATAATATCTATATTACAACTTTTAAAGAATATAATAAACAAAATCTTAGCTTATCTAACTATTATTAACTAATAAATAATAAATATTAGTCTTTCTTACTTAATATAACACTTGATTTTCACCTATCATATCACAGAATATAATTTTACTAAATAATACTTAATGTTTTAACGATCTTTAACAACTTTGTCTAATTCATCACATGATTTAGATTTATTGTTCCTGAAAATAAATAAAGCAGGTAACTATATAATCTGTAAATGTATTTTGGGCTGACAGATATAAAAAATTTTATTTACCTTTTTATGAGATCTCTACGCCCAACTTGTAAAACAATCTGGCCACATTTAACTTCTTTGAATAAAGCTATTGCTTCAGAATGCTTAAACCCCTCCATACTTTTGCCATTTACACTAATAATTTCATCGCCTAAAAAATTAAAATATTATTAGAACAAATTATTATTAACAAATATTATTATTTGTACATACCTTCTTTTAAGAGCTTCGATTCAGCAGCTTGGCCTAATGGAAAAATTGTTTTTACGAAAATCCCCATGCTGCCTTTTGGAGAATCGATTCCTCCAACAATACTAAATCCTAAAGACTTATAACCAGGTCCTTTATGAAAAATTATTGTTGTTAATGATATTGATAATGATCTAGGTCTTGGCAATCGAGGTATTTGAGTATTTTTTGGTCGAGTTTGATCTAAATGCACTGAAAATTTACGCATTCCAGTCATTTTAGGTTTTTCCTCTAATTTAATTTCTGGCAAGGATGATTGTCTAGTGTATATAGCTTCATGCATTTCTTCTAATTTTACTGGATATTTAGGTACCGTTGGAGGTTTTTTAATTAATATTACTTGTTCTGGTTTAGGAGTCGGTTGACATTTAGTTCTAGATACAACAAACTCTATATTATACTTTGATGAACGTAATATTGATTCCACATCTTGCCGTCTTAGGCCCTTTACTCTAGTACCATTGATTTTTATTATTTCATCCTGTATACATAATCTACCATCTCTGAAAAAAAAAATGTTTACAAATTTGAATAATAATTTATGAATCACTTATTCTTACCTAGCTGCTGGGCCTGACAAAGCTGTAATAAATAATGTACGGGATCTTGAAGAAATATCTTGGTATTCCACATTTACTCCAACATCTTCTCCTAGACGTTTATTAAATCTTATTGTTTTTATCTCTGAATGTTTATCGTTTGGATTTACACAACTACTTTTTTTTAGTAAAAATCTTTGATAAAGACTCATGTTTTGTTCAGGTTTTTTACATTCATCACACATTAATGATGAAGTTTCCACATTTGATCCAACCTGAAGGTCTTTCACTTCACCTCTTCTTAATCCCACTCGAACATTTTTTCTTGAAAACTCATCATTATCAACTGAAGATTGCGATTTAATAGATCCTCTTGGAGAGTCTCCACCATTTCTTGTCGAATCACTCTCATAACCACTTTCATCTGCTTTTATTACAACACGGTTTTTTTCATCAATTTTATTTATCATTAGTGTCTCCCCAAAACTAGTATGTCTTCTTCTACGGTTTTTAATATTACAACTATCATTTACTCGGTTTGTAACTTTATTATATATTTTAAGAAGTTCATCATAACTAAGACTTTGAAGTTTATCAATACTTTGTTCCAATCCAAGTAACTTTTTATTAGATAATAAATATTCTAAAATACATTGTTCTTCAAGAGGGTTCTCATCAATATCTATGGGCAATCTTGTCCTTTGTATGGGTGTAATTTGGCAGGGAATTATTTTAAGTTTTGAAACATTTTCCATAGCATATAAATCTTCAAGACCTTTTTGACATTTATCTTTTAGCCAATCTTCACCGTTTTCTACTTGAGTCTGTGGTTCTTCTATACTTCTAATACTTTCTATTCTCGATAAACGTTTATTTTGATTATTATGTAATTTATCAATGTAATGTTGGTGCATTTCAATATCTTGGTTTTTTATATTTGCCTTAGATGAAGGTGACCACTGTCTCCTACGATTTGGAGAAACTTGAAGTATTTCTGAAGAATCGCTTCTTTTTAACTGATCCCACTTTCTTCCGACTTTTTTACCCCAAGTTGCTAAACCTAAAAAAATTAATTTAATAAACTGGAATTTTTAAATGAACTGTATGTATATGTATATAAAAACATTTACTTTTTTTATGTGGTTTTGGTGAACCATTTTCAGGTGTAGTACATCCTTTTGGTGTCATATACCCGGGAGATACATCTCTATGGTCTTGTTCGATTGGTGACAAACTAACAAGTTGAGGACTGGGATCAGAACAACGTCTTTTGAACAGTCTCATGGTATATATTAACTGAAATAGTTATAAAATAATATATTTAAAAAGTCATAGTTAAAATCAAATCATTCTATGACGTATAAATTAATGCAAACCTTTATTGCTCAAAAAGTTCAGCAATTATTAAAGAAATTAGGTTTAAACCTGTTATTTTTATGTTCGTAATAAGCTAAAATAACTAACAGTCTTGAAATATTTGTGATCAAGAGAAATCTCGTAGGAAAATACATTTCCGAGCAATTTTAAATGGAATGCGTTGATTTAGTAATTAATTTTACAAAAAAATCTCTTCTACTTTCTAGAGCAAAGTTTAAAGTATTTAAACCTCAATAGTTAATACGATAACTATTTTTTTCGATTATTTAAGTAGGTACCTTAATAACAATTTATAATAGTAATTTATTATACTGAAAGTTAATAAAATAAATAAAATAAATTATTCAAGTAGACAATTTTAAACAATATGAATGGAATTAGAATCATATATTTTAGATCACTAAGTTTTCTTAAAAACAGTTTATAGTTACATCATATTTATTTCATAGTTTCATTGTTTTATTTTTGTGCTTTCCCACAGTTCTATTTTAAAAATATGAACTCTAAGTAGGATTAAAGGAAATAAGAAATATACGATTTACCGTTTTATACTACAGTAAAATGAATCTATCTATATTAATAAATACACAATAAGTGCGAGTTACGGTTGTTCTAACAAAGAAATCAAATTTTTCCCACAACCCAATTGTTTATATACGATGGTAAGATAAATTGATACGCACTAAAATAATATAACCTAATATATTTTACCCAGTGGCGTATTTTTGAGGGGGGGAGGGAGTCCTGGATCTCGGACTCCTCCCGGAAGAAGAAAAATATTCAAAAGTCTTGCTATGAAGGTACAGAGAAAGAGAACATTAATTTATGCCATATTTTTGTAAACAATACTTCATTTATATTTATAATAATAATATTAGAATGAATAATATAATTATTAATTCTTAACTTAAATTTATTTTTTATATTATAAAATAACCAATTTTATAAAAAAAAATTAACTCCCCCCCCAAAAAAAAAAAAACCACTGACTAACCCATAAACCAAAATGCTGGTTTCATTTTTTACAGTTCCTAAAATGAATGTCTAATTATTTTTGTTCAGTTTATAATAATAATATTAAAAATTAAATCATTTATAAAATGACCTTAACCTTTTACAAAAAAATTTATGAGTAATAAAATACATCTCCTTATTATTTAAAAATAAATAAGAAATTTAAAATACTTTTTCAAAAATGTTGCATCTACACGTGAAAATGATGTTTAACATTTATAATACACCACGTTTATTTAAATTTAAGCATTTTCATGGTTAAAATTAATGCACAATTGACATTTTACTTTTTCAAGTAAAATTTAACAAAGAATTAAAAATAAGTAATAATAGAAGTGCATATGGTAGAACACTATAGTCAATGTACTACAACCATATTATAGGTAAATGCGTATTGGTAAACGTTGTTTATCCGCCAGTTTGATGGTTTGCCAAGTGTGTATTTATGTAAATCATTGTATTTAGTTGTCTACCGAATTAAGAGTAAAATGTGTTAAAATGACCTCATGTTCAGCTACGCACGGTAACTCGGACGGAATTGAACTTGTCGATTTTCACAAAAAAATCATTAGAAAAATTAGAACATACGTATATATATGCTGTACATACATACACGCTCTGTATAACACTAATATTACTAACTTAACCAACCCATTAAATAGAAATGTTGTTAGAGCGCATTAGCCCATGGGCGCATAACCCGTAAGAAAAATTAATCAACATATTAAATCAAAAATGTGTATAAATATATTTAACAACATTAAAATCAATGATCCGGCAACATTTTTGAGATAATATTATTACTATTACAATTAATGCAGTCATTGCGTATGGTGTTTATTATGTTACAAAAAAAAAAAAAAAAACGATGAATATCGATGATGAAATGTTATAAATATATTTGTAACATGATTTTATGTGGTAGGTATGTCGTTGTACTTGACCGCCCACTGCAGAGAAGTCATTTTATATACAAATCGATTCATATAGACATTATAAACGCGCAGGTGACCGGATAGGGGGCGACAAAAACCTACAGGTTACCTACTATAAGTACCTATACTAGCAGACGAACGAATCCTTACATTACTAATGTCAAAAACAGTATTCCTCTGTATGAAACATCTATAAATAATTATACATGTATATATAAGTAGTCAAGTAGGTATGTATATATAATGATGTATTTTTTTAATTATTTGTCAGTAATATCTTGGTAGGTGGTAGCGGTATGTTAAGATAAATATTTATAAAAATATAATATATATAATAATATTTATAATATTTATATTTTTTATAAATATTTTTTCATTTATTTTACATCAACTGTAAAAAGACTGTCCAAAGACTTACCTAATATATTTCATTCAAAAGGTTTAATTTTAATAAAATATACAAAATATATTTTTGAATAAGTATATATTTTACACGTTGACAGTGACTAAGTAAGTTTCTTTGTCGTATACAATTACAACTGCATTACTCATCGGTTCGAATCGTGATTTATCGTGAGTTTGGATGCGCTGGTAGACCATTGATAATAGATTTAATTTAGATTTTATGTTTTAATTCGTGCGTGTATACCATAAAATATAATACTTTTGACTATATTATAAAGAACTCTGTAATTAGTTTTTAATAAAGAACAATTTTGAATAACGTTGAATGGACACGGCCGGTTACCTGTATGTTCTTCGCTTGAGAATAAACACTGAGCACCACGCCTATGCAATATAGTGCCGTTTGACCAGTCCAAGTACTGTTATGAGAGGCTAAACTTGGAAAACAACTACAACCGGTTTTTGTTGTAATATTATAAAAGGGCTATACATGTAGACCCCGCTGGCGAGGTTCATTCAGCAGAATAATTCCGCACACTGCGATATTTACATATTTGATGCACGCGAATTATTTAAAACATATATAATACATAATAATACTCCAACTAAAATCGTAAGAAAGGCTAACTGTAATAATCAATTCAATATGGTATAAGTTAACAGTGACCCGCTAACCCGAAATTAAAGTATGATATTATATATGATTTTAAATATTTAAGGATCCATAAATTACATAGTTTTGTCCATATATATATATATACAATATATGGTACTATATGGAGGGAAACTAAACTAACCACTGACTATAATTATAACTACTGTTAAATAATTATTAAACTAAAATTAAAAACCTAAATATATTATTTCGAAAAAGATTGTACACAATCAAAATCAAATACAGTATACATTGGCATAAAGTATTTTGAATATTAACCATATACCTATTTATACAAAATTTCGATTCATTTTGAAATATTTTACAACGCATGAAAAAACAACTATACTACATTAATCAGATGTTTGGCAAGTAGTCTAACTAGTTTAAGGAAGCTGTTAACATAATTTAACTATGAAAAATAACTGTATTTTAGTTTCCACGAAAAATACTTAAAATCGTTTAATAATGGAACTAAATTATTGAATAATATCATTTTCAAAAAAAAATTTTTTTTCAGGAATAAAATGTGTTATTAATCTACATCGTATTATATTTAAAATAATTAAATTAAAGGAAAATATTATTTTAATGATAAACTCTATAAATCTAACCACAATGTTTTTTACATCTTCTACCTGTACACTGACTATGCAAATAATAATTTAAATAAATATTACGTCAATGAAAATTATGTGATAATATATGTTTATTAGCTATGAAAATGTGCTGCAAACCATAAACATATGGTGTATATATACATATTAGTATGTTACTTAAACTATTGAATATTTTATGATAAATATGATAATCGTAAAAAGAGTTTTGTCTCATAACCGAATAAAATACATCAACACAATTTATTATTAATTTTTAAAAACGTTGTCATATTTGTACATTCTTGCATAAAGATATATCTTAAAAAATACCTTCCTCATTATATTTTACTTTCTATAAAAAAAAAATTGAATTTCTATTTGTTGTATGTTTACTTAACCCTAAACCCGACATCTGCATACTGGAAAGATCTTGTCATGTGCCCTAAGGATTAAACGAACCGTATGTTGGGTAGTCACATGCAGACGTTACATTATTATATAACTGACGTAAAAACAATTCAAACATAGCTATCGAAGAATACATTGGTTAACTATTATTTGTTCCTCCATTTTCAAAAAAACATATACTACTAGTATCAAATGTATATTTATCACACAACAGTAGTCCTAATACGTACTTATATCATATGAATTTCGATTTGATATTTGAATGAAAGTAGACAATAGCTCAATAGTTGTTTAAAAATATAATATAATTATAAGAGTATAAGTAAATCCAAAAATATTAACTTCATATAATTCATCAATTATATTTTGAATGTTGAAAATAAGTATTTTTTTAAAATAAAGATACATTTAATAAAAATAGACAACCCGGCATGGCATCAGACAATTCTAAAACATACTCGTATGAATAAGATTAATTGAGTAAAGGGTATGTATCCAATATTTTTTATCTACATCAACCACTGCAACTGGTGTATTATAACAATATATTACATTTTTAAGTAATAATAAAACATCCCAAACTTCATATCTTATGAAAAAATTACTTACTATGCATAATACATCTTAAAATTTTAAGCACTCTATATTTAATCATTGTCTAGATAATTTAAATTTTTTTAAATAAAACAGAAAATTAGACATCTTCAAATATAATATTTTTTTTAAGTATTTTTAAAAATGATCAAAATGATTTGTCATTTATATAAAATAGTTTTATGAATTCTATTAAAATAAAAATAATATTAACATTTTAAGTTTCTTAAATTGTTAATATTTATATACGAAAAAATAATCGAAAACTATAATTTGTCGATATTTTTTCAAAACTTTGTTGTATGTTGCTCCTATTCATCCACGATTATAATGAATAAATATTTTTAAAAAAGCTTTTTCAAATTAAAAATTGAAATTACATGTGTCTAAAAAATTTTAAAGTAATTAAATTACATAAGTTTTGAGATAATTATTTTAAATTTTTGTTTGCACAATAATAAATTATTAATGAATTTGCAAACTCACGTACACAAGCTTATACACAATAGACATAAGTGTACGTTTAATAAACATCACACACTAAATATATTCAAAGAAATACTTAACAAGATAACAAGATACAGGTACTATATTTGTGATTTTATAGATTATCATAATAAATTCATGTATTTACTTATACGCTCTACGAAATCCGATTCATATTTTTTTATTTATAATAAATGCCTTTTCTTTAAAAAAAAAATTCTAAAAATCTGTCATAAAGTTTCAGTCAATTTACTGATTTAATAATTATGACTAAGTAGATGATCCGTGATCAACATTATAATTAACAAAATAATAGATATATAAAACGTATGTATATTGTAAGCAAATGATTAACACTAACCATGTCTTATCAATTTGTATTTCAACCACTTTATTAATAAAATACCACATTTAAATGAATACAAATATTCTGATTCTACACCTACTGTACAAAAATATTAAAAGAAGTCAGAGGCTTATCTCGTTGGGATTGTTGTTCACCTTGAGTACCTATATTCCAGTAATATTTCCAACATTATTCTATTATCTTTTAAATGAATTGTGCCTATTATATAATTGTATGCATTTTTCTCAATTTCTATGGTACAAATTGAACGACCACATTAAAAATGTATTTACTAATAATAATCAATATTAATATAAAAACTAATTTGAGCAAAGAATGATAAAGTAAAGAGTTAACTAACAAACGCTAAATAGTTATTTAATTCATTAAAAACAATTATAGTTAGATAAATACTATTGAAATGTATATAATATAGTATATAATGTGAGATTTCTATTAAAATGTCTAATAAAAATTAATAATTTTTGTAAGTATAATATATTATTATAAAAAATTACTTTTCACACATCTCTTAGAATTTAATATAATACAAATTACGTATTACATTTTTACAGTACTTAGTAATTAACAAAAACAATTTGAGAAGGAACGTAAATCACCATAAAAAGAATCAAATTTTTAAATCATAATTGAATGCTTTAAAATATTTAGGAAACTAAATTAGAAATAAAATAAAATAAAACTACAATACCTAATTGCAATGGTAAATGCATAAAATATTTAATATACAAAATAATTGGGAAAATAGAAATAAAAGTCGTATTTAAGTATTTTACATAATAGTATTATAAATATATTTTATGATTTTCATAACAACAGCAGAATTGTATTGTCCGAATGAAATTCAAAGAAAATAATAGAGACCTTGACAATTCGGTACGGACTATTGATCTTATTGTATTAAGTAGCTCACATAACTTTTAATGTGACAATAATGAAACTAAATTATATTGTAGTGGACTATCATAATATATGAGTACAGGGCCTATGCTTTTACTGAAATTTATTTGGGAACGGTGATCGGAGTTGAATACAAATACAATAAAAAATATTAGGAGTATGATCAACAACGTGACTTTTTATAATATAAGAGTAAGTACATATGTTTTACTTCGTAGTTTACTCTAGTTAATTTTTAATAATATAAGTAGTACCTAATGTATTACTTAACTTATTATATTAATAAATTACAATAAAATAAGCAATCATTATTTTATGATTATTTTGATTATTAATGACTTTTTTATTTATTACATAGGTATAAATAACATGATTTCATAATTACTTCACAAGAATTATCCATTTAATTTGCATCATTATTCCATGTGTTCATAACTTTATTATCCATATTATATACATTAAAATATATATAAGTCGTAAGTAAAAGTCAGTAAATACAAAATTAATTTTTTCGGATAATTAAAGATAAGTTACCCATAACTAACAAAATAACCAATCCGAAACGTAATTATTTTTGGTTAATAGCCTTATTATTCTTATAGAATAATAATGTACAAATGTCATATGAGTTCTTAAATTGGAATCCAATGTTTATTTTAGATTACCTACGGCCAAGACAAAAAAGGTATAGATTTACAGTGCATTTTTTGGCTCTCACATTTTGAAGCAAGAAAAATGCACTGCAAACAGGATCTTAGAATAATACATTATAACGTTTAAATTCCTCACTATAAATATATATATATATATTTATAAAAATTTGACATTTTATTAAAATAGAAAAAATCATAAGTACTTTTAGGTAAACCAAAACTCTGTATTCAAATTCAACATATTTTATAATGCACTACAATTGTGACGAGGTTATTATATAAAGACAAGTATTCAATATATGAAGCATTGTCCACTTTTTATGTTTTTATATTTTAAATTAAATGGTCAGGGTTATTACGAATCTGAAGAGTGTTACGAAGAAACGATATTACGTGCATGTCGTCACGGGTTTCCATGTAGTTATAAATTTAAATTAACACAGTATATTTTATCATACATCAGGCTAATATCGATTGAAAATAATATATACTGTATCTACTAGATTTTCATTTACAATATTAATACTGTTGAGTTATATTATGTTAAATAACTATCTAATTTTTAATTGAATACAAACTATATTAAATCCAATAGACAATCAATAATTATTGGTTAATCCTATTAAATTATATATATTTTTTTTCGAACCAATTTAATAGTATTTTATTAATATTCAGAAGAAGAAGACTATAAATATAATAAATATTACAAATATCAAGACCCGGGTCATAGCCAAAGGGAGTTATCAGGTCACAACTCCACTCCATGAGTTTTTGAATATCCTCAAAAAATGATAGAAGAATGCCCGCCTTCCCCCAAGAAGAAATCTTAGCTACGCGCCTGCCCAAGAGGAATCTTAAAAGATAAAACGAAAATAATTAAAGGCGTAAAGTTATAATATTAAGCAGCTAACCAAATAAAAACTGATGACTAAAAAAATATACTCAATATTTTCCAGAATTATGCGTGTACCTACACTTAATCTGAAGACTGAACAGTTGAGGATTCGCAGAGATCACCAAGTGTATAATATACTTACAAGTTAAACTAAAATAATACAAAAATCGTATAAACTAACTTAGATTTATCAGAATCTAAGATAGATTTATCCTATTATGATTATTCGTGTAGTATAACTTCATTACTTCAAAAGAAAACAGTCCTTTCCTAGAATGATAAGTCTAACAAAAAAAATACGCCCTTGATTAATACACATATATGCATATAATGTGCTGTGCATATTAGATATAACTAAATGTATAATGCATATGTGTCAAGAAGTTTTTTTTCCAAAATATAAAGTCTATATAACGGCTAACACATATTGCGACTTATCACATTGTACTTAATTCATATATTATAAACTCCAGAAAAACTTTTTCATTACCTATCCATATTATATTTGGTTAGTTTTAATATCTTGATGATATAGTCTCACGGTCTTAATAATAGCTAGCTTAACAACCATTGAATAGCATTATTATGATTTTATTTAGATATATGGTTTAAATAATTAAATGCCAATAGTGGATCTAACTTGGGGTGTTATTATTTCAACTACATCTCTGTGAATTACTACAAAATATCTATTATTATGACCAATTGAAAAATATAAGAAAGTTTTCTCTTCAAACTGTGAAAATGCAATAAGCGTTTTCTAATATTGTATTTAAATATTTATGTGCAGGTATATTGTTTACATAAATAATTCGTTTACTTACTGTTTTATTCCATAATGGCCAGCATTTTTAAATATAAATAAAATATAACGAAATAATAAATACGTCGGTAACAATTGTTCTAAATTATCACGTAACACTACTATTACGACAATGAACCTGCGCGCACGACTGAACAGAACAGACTAAGTACTAAACGTTCTAACAGCAGCAGGCGGCCTATGTTAAAGCAACAGTAAAAATATAACATTGCATTCTCTCCCATCGACTTGTTTTTAACACTTTCGCGCCATCCTCCGCCAGAGGGTATATTTTGTTGACGTCATAAAACAAATTACAGAAAATAAAAGTCAACACGTAAGACTTGCCAGATCAAGATTTCGTAGAAACTATCACAAATTTTACTAAAATTAAAATTAAGTAATTAACATTCTCATAAAAAAAAAAAAAAAAAAAAATTAGCTTGATAAAAATATTGCATATCGGTATAAAAATATGCATTGATTGTATTGTATTGTAGATTCCCCCTCCTAAAAATGAAGTAGGTATGTAAAAAACAATTAGAAAAATTGAAACTTGAAATTGATAAACAACAATTGATTTTTAATAAATCCGTTTTAAAATCCAAAGTAGCAACAATTACTTAATTTCGAATTAGTCATGTTTTAGCTAAGAATAAAAATAATTTCAAACCGATGAAATAGTAAAACAAGGTTTTTTAGATGCTTTATTTGAAAACTTTAATAATAAATTAAAAAATTTATCAGCTAAAAACAATGTACAGTTATCTTGTAAAACTGTGACTAGAAGATTTGAAATGACAAAATTTAGTTGAAATATTAAAACAAGACATAAATGAATTTGTTTATTTTTGACTTCAATTCGACGAATCAATAGACATAACAGATACCGCTCAACTATGTATAATTATAAGACTAGTTATTTCAAATTTGAATTCACAAGAAGAATTATTAACTATAATTCCTATGAGAAGTACGACACGAGGAGAGGATATTTATCAATAATTTATTAATTTTGTCAATAAATTAAATTTACCTTGATATAAATTAGTTTATATTACGACTGAAGAAGCTCCAGCTATGAGAGGTAAAAATAATGGTTTTATTGCTTTATGTAAGAATGATAATAATTTTCCAAATTTTATAACGTTCCATTGTGTAATAAAATATTGAATAAGAATAATATAATGGACATTGCTTTTAAAATATTCAATTCTATTCGTTCACGATATTTGCAAAGACGATTTTTTAAATTATAATTAGAAGAAAACTATTTTAAGCATTGTAATTTATTACTACATACAGATGTTAGATGGTTGAGTCGTGGTAAATTTCTAGAAAGGTTTCAGTGTTTACTTTCTGAAATAATAGCATTTTTAAAATCCATAGGCGATAATTATGATTGTTTAACAAACAACACATGGCTTCAAAACTTAGCTTTTTTAACAGATATGGTAACGGCTCGTTTAAACACTTTAAATGTTGAACTTCAAAAAAAAGATGGGACAATAATTGAGTTATTGAGTTCTATAAATTATTTTAAATCAAATTGATATTACTCAAGTTACAATTAAAAGAATCTAATTTGAGTAATTTTTCAAACTTAATAGATTTTTTAAAAATCAAAAATGTACGATGGCAGAGGAAATATACTGTTCTGAGGTTAAAAAAGTGTACAATGAATTTGAGAGACGATTTAAAGATATTCAAAAATTAGAGCCGATTAATACATTTATGTCTTCTTGTTTCTCCGAAACAAACAATATTGAAAATATTTCTACACAAATAAGTAATTTGTTTGATATGGATACTACAAAATGTGAATCTGAAATTATAAAAATGAAATCAGATATATTCCTCAAAGCTCGAGGGTCTAGACAATTTTTTTGACTTTACAACGTGAAGAAAAATATCCGTGTTTGAGGCATGTAGCTTTGCAGTTACATACTTATTTTGGATCTACATATTTGTGCGAAACATCATTTTCTCCCTTGAAAATTATAAAAACAGAATACCGAACTACACTCTCTGTCTAATGAACATTTAGAGCAGTGTCTTTACGATTAGCAGTCAGCAACTATTTGCCAAATTAAGACCAATTGATCAACAAAATGTAATGCCACACTTCAAAAATGCTCAGATCAACAAAATAATATGTTAATTAGACTTAAGTAATTAGATTTTGGAAATTATTATTTATTATTATATTATTTTTAGTAATTAGTAATAACAGTAGAGCCTCGATAGTCCAGACGAATTCAGACCGAGCATAGTCCGGATTACTGGAGGTTTTTCAAGATTACCTACTTAAATGACTAAGATTTTATTTTTAATTTCGCCATCTTTTTACTACTACTTCTCAGCAATCATACCATAGTTCAGGCCATTTTCTATTAACTTAATTATTTCAATTTTTTGATCTGAAGTTAAAGTTTCGTGTTAACGAGGAGCCATTTTAACAAACAAGAATAATAACTTGACAAGAAAGAAGTAAACGAACTGACCATCGATTTATTACTAATCAGTAATGATGGGCATTATCGAATAGTATTATTCGATAGTCCAGCATAATCGAATTATTCTAGTTTTTCAAAATAATCGATTGTTCCAAATTATTAGAAACTATTCGGACTATTCAATAGTTTCGAATTATTCAATATTATCCAATAGTTCAAATTATTCGAAACTATTCGGACTATTCGATAATTTCAAATTATTCAATTATTCGATAATTTATGACTTCTGAATTATATTATATAATTATATATAATTTATATATCATACAAAATAATATTCGATAGTTTATGCTAACTATCGAATACTATTCAATAGTGTAAACTATTCAATATTGCCCATCTCTACTAATCAGTATTTGCTAGCAAAAGTAGTTAATAAAAATGACGTAGATCATATATGTATATGATCTAAGGACGAAATTGTATTTGTTGATAACAATATCTTATAGATTAATTGGGTTCCGGGAATTCACATAAAATCTATTTACGAACAAATGAAATTATGCCATTCGGATTACCGTGTTCACCGGATTATCGGGGGTCCGGACTATCGAGGCTCTACTGTAGTTTATAATACTTAGGGCTAGTTCACATGAGAGGCGTTAAACGCGCGTTTACAATTACTATTAATAGCTATTAACTGTACACATGGTAACGCGCGTTCAACGCAGCGACAACGCAAAAAACCTGTCAACGCGCGTCAGCGCAAGTTGACGCGCGTTTGAACATTGTACAGTTTTGCATTGACGTGTTCAGTTGCAACGCGCGTTTTGAAACGATAGGTTCTTGATTTTCGATATTTTCATTTGTTTTTTCGAAAAAGTTTTCTAAAAAATCAAAAATGGATAGTGAGGAATTTGATACTGATTTATTCATAAACGAAATTGAAAAAGACCCCCAATTTAAGATATGACAAGTAATGAATATTCAAATAAAATCAGTAAAAGAAAGGCCTGGGAAGAAATTGTTCTAATTTTTAGTGACCCAAGTGACACGGAAGAAAGAAAAAAATTCCATGGTAAGTATTATTAACTATTTTGTATTTTATAATTTGATATAAAATTTAAAATCAATTAAATAAATAATATAGACATAATTTATTTTGTTTCATATTGTTTTTTGGAAAAAAATTCTATACATAAATTAATTATTTAAAACTGTTATTAAAAAAAAAAATACATATTGTTTGTTTTTAAAATAAAGTTTTATATACATTGTTGTACATCTATTTACTACTAAAAATTAATATAACTATTAAAATATTTTGTACCTATGTATAAATTTATATCATACGGTCAATGTCGACGCGCGTTTAATGCCTCTCATGTGAACACTAACTAAAAAACGCGCGTTTAGCTAACGCGCATTTTACGCTCTCCATGTGAACTTACCCTTATTGTATGCTTATATACACTTTAAGCAGTATGTTTCTTAATAATTGTAGTTACTCAATAATAAAAAAAATTTTCTATGAAAGTCGATCCTCAAAGGTGAAGTATATTTTTAGTAGATCGTGACCAAAAAAAGTTTGGCCACCCTTGTTAAACAGCATCAGGGCCGTCTCGAAGGGGGTCTTGGGGCGGTGTCTCACCATCCCAACGAAAACACCAGTCGGCAGTCGATATTATTTCATTATAGCCTAGAAGGACCTAATTTTACTTACGGAAAACAAATACTACATATTTCATAATACAGTGTATACACGAATAAAATTTATATAACTACTTATTATACAATATAAAATATTATTTTTTATATATATATAATGAAATTGTCAATTTTAAGAACGAGCGACACTGACACATATATAGGTACATGTTAAAAGTAAAAATACGACAACAAATAGTTAATTATACTTAGGCGTGGAGCTAGAAATTTCTAAGGGGGAGGGGTGTTATTCAAAAATAATTGACAAAATTATACACACGAAATTGAATACTTTCAAATCAATGGCGTATTTACGGGGAGGGTTCCCGGGTCTCGACCCCGCCCAAAAAAAAAATTTAAAAAATCAAAAAAACTTGGTACGTAGGTACCGAGAAAGAGAATATAAATTTTATATTATGGGTTTTTACTTTGGTTATTTTTATCGCGTCGTCGCCATTCGACGACGACAATTACGACAAAAACGAGTCCGACGACGATAACATAAGGATAAGGACATAACATAATAATAATTATTATATGACTATATTAGTAGGTACGCCGACTATTAATTTGTATTAATAAATCATAATAGTAGTGAAATATACATAATTTAATATAAATAATATAGTTATTACATATTTACATCATAACTCGTATGTGTTTTTTTTATATTATAAACTTATAGGTACTTAATATTTAGACCCCCCCCCCCACAAAAAATTTGAAAATACGCCACTGTTACAAATATTTAAATTTTTCACACATATATTATTATAATTAATATAAAAAAATTAAAAAATATTTTTAATTAAATTAACATAATTCGTCTACTTTTTAAAGCTAGAGTATCCATTCTTTCGTCAGTGGTTACGACTAAATCCCGATGAATATTCATAACTGCAAAGCCGTTCAACCGATTTTCACCAGTTGTGTTCCTCAAATATGTTTTTAAGCGCTATAAAGAGGAAAAAGATCTTTCAATACTTGCACTAGTTACTGGTAAAGTAATCATTATTTTTAAAAGTCGATGAACAGTAGGAAATATTTATTATTGTATAATGGCGAATGTAAAACAGTCAACGAGTAGCCGACTACAACGTTTTGTTTCGGAGTTTAAAGATACATTTACATCCGATGGACACGTTTTATTTTGTGTACTATGTGGTAATTTTTTTTTTTTTTTAATGCAAATAAATACATATTATAATGCATATTTTAATTATTTTAGAAACATATTTGTGTATTTTTTAGAGCTATAAGTCCCTAAGCCAAGTAATTACTAATTAATGCCGGATCCCAGCTTTAGTACTTTACATTATTGTTATCGTAATATATATTTCATTTTGATAAATTGTAAATCACAGCTTATGATACATCTTTATCTTGATAAAACATATTAAGTATACCACCGCTGTGGGGGGGGGGTGTTACTACACCTGTAACACCTCCCCCCTGGATACGCATCTGATTATACTACATACATTGAGTAAAAAAATTGTAGTAAAATTTTTCATATTATTCACCCTTTATTTTCATCTTCCGGACAGCCCTGTACAATATTATTATTCAAGGCATACATTTTTTCAAGGAATAAGATAAGTCAGTAATAAAAATAAAAATACTTTACAAAATACCTTAAATTTATTAAAACATCATACTTCACTTTTTTTAAATTCCTTTTAATATAAATTAATAAACTATAACTAATATGGTTTAGAAGTATCATTTCTCAAACTTATTTTTGGCAATATTTTTAATGAATTTTTGTTAGGGGTAGTATCTAAATTATTTTCATCACTTGGGACCCAAATATTCAATATATTAGCTTCGCCACCAGTTACTAAAAATCCACTCTGTAATTAAAATATATAAAATTAATTATTTAATAAAATAGATAAAAATTTAAATTTTTTGATACAAAATAAATAATTTTTTTTTTTAAATGTAACTTACATCTTTTTCATACCAACTGCATCTTACAATTTGTTTATTATTTTTGAATACTGTTCTAGGTAACAACTCAGGTCCATCAGTCATGGTAAGCGATTGCAAATGTTCTCTAAATGAATCAAAAATAAATCTATTATGAAACGATTGATTTATGTTATATTTGTTTAAATTTAAAATAGGTAATTTATTAATACATTTTAAAAATGATTCTGAGCAAATATAAAATAATCATCTGATATTTATAAATACTTCCTAAAAACAGATTTGTTTCAAAAAATAGTATATAAATTATAAATCATAATTTTTTTAAACACATAGTATATCAAAACATTTATTAATTTAAAATATAAAAATTACATATTTAAACCATCCTGTTTATTTGAAAATGATGCTGTATGTAACTTATTACGTAGATTTACTAACTAGACGGGTTAATAAAAAAAAATAAAATAAAATCAATATATTCTATATTATCCTAAGTTAAAATCAACATATACATTGTATTAAATAAATGTTTTTATATATTTATAATAATTTCTTCTGTAAAAGTATACCTTTATTTATTTTTTTTATTAAAAGTATAGATTATATCAAATTTTTTAAATCGATAATTTAAAATTTGGATCCCAATGGCATATAACTTGAAATAATAGATATCTATAAACCCTGAATATTTATAGTATACATTCCAATAAAACTGCTTGAATTAATCTAATTGAACAGTTTGATTGATTGTATCAAATAGAGTTCAATTTCTTTTGACATTTAAGAAAAATTGATAGTCAAAAATGAACTTAGTTACATGTAAATGAACTGTACCAAATTAAATCTATCATTTAATATACTAACTATGCCTAAAAAAACTAAACTGAATATGCCATATTAATCATGTAATCAATAGCTTAGTAAAATTACTGAATAATGAGATTAAAGTAACATAAATACTAGTAGAAGCTATACATAACACATTTTTGGTTACCCTCTGCCATAATTAATTCCAACAAGCAACATCATGTTTCCATTTTTATCAGTCTGATGACAATTGATTACTTGGTTATAGCCAGCAGGTGTAATCTATAAATAATAATTTGTTAACTTTAGATTTTTTTTATTATTAAAATGTATAGGAACTTACATTCATTGAACTACTAACTGTATCTCTTGGAATAGTTAAAAATGGAGAAGAATCAGTTGTGCACCATAGTTGTAAATCTTCAGTATGTGTGATACAAGATATGACTGAATCTTCATTTTTATTTTTTAACCATCTTAAATTTGACTTTAAAAATATAATACAAATAAAATTAATTCATTCATCAAGAATACCCATTTTTGAGTTAACATTGTAATAATATTGCATATTTCATGTGATATACTACGTGATCCAAAGTATCTACTGATGTAATTCTTATTGAAATTGGTGGAATAGTTTTCTAAGTTTATGTTTAATTAGATTATATTCCTCAATTAAACATAATCAAATTTTTCAATTTGTTATATATATATATATTTAAAACTTACAATTGATGAATTTGTATTATAACTTGATTGGAGTGCATCTTTTTCAGTTGTTTGAGTAACATCAAATAAATTAATTATGCCATCAGTAGATCCACTAATTATGGTTTTATCTTCAGTGGGATGAAATCTAACCTATTAACGAAATTACTTATGAAATAATAAGCATTTATCTTAAGAGGTTAAGACTAAACAAAGAAAAACTAAACTTTGAATCTATATGACATAAATATTACTCCTAGGGTCAAGCTACACTACCCTTGCCTATAATTCATATAAAATGTTGGTCAAATACAATACAATTTTAGGTTTTTTGGATTAATGAACTGTTATTTATTTGCATAAAATTTTGTAGACCAATTAATACTAATTATAAATTTTATATTATTATAATGTAAGAGTATTATACACTTTAAAATAATAAAATTAATAAATATATATCCAATACAATGAAGACAAAATAAAAATTTATTAGGGAAAATTAGAATTAAAATTTTATTTTATTTTCATTGATCACATTGATCAAACTTACAGTATCCAATACTTTGAGAACCAGTCATTCAAAATAAAATATATTTACCTGTGTAATATCTCCATAATGAGTATCCCAATAACCACCAAGTAAATTTGTAGTTCGAATATCCCAAAATAATAAGAAAGAATCATCTTTTAACACTTCTGTTCCAGCTACTATGAATCTACCATCACAAGATACATCAAAACATGTTATTGGTTTCGGAGAACCATCAGTTTCATCTAAAATTAATAAATTATAAACTAAATGCAAACTTTTACTTATATATAATAAATTTTACCTTTAAAAACAGATATACATTTTTCTTTTAAACGTAAGTCCCATAGTTTAATGGTCCCATTATCAGATCCAGTAAATACGATAGAGGAAATTTGAGAATCTTTTGAACCAAATCTAAAAAATATTAACATGCATTAGTTTGTGCAGTAATAAAAAATAATGATTACATTACTTGACATCAATAATTTGATCTTCATGATCTAAACATTCAGTGAAAGACTTACTTCCTGCTTCAATACCATATACCCTACAAGTATGATCAGTATGAGCTGTTGCAACTCTAAGTGATTGTCCACTTTAAAATAAAATATTAAATTAATACAATTTTAGAAATATGTTTCAATACAAAAAAGAATTATTACAGTTTTTGAGCATCCAAATTTAAAATATAAACTTCATTTATATTAATGTCTTCTTCAAAAATTTGTTTGTATTTAATTTTGTAATGTATTTCTTTGGACTCATCAAATACAAACGGATAGGAATTAATATCATCTTCACTTCCATCAGAAACATTTTCTTCGTTAATTAAAGACTGATTTGTACTGTCACTATCTGAACTCGAATTCAATGTTTCTAAAATGAAAAATCATGATCATAACTTATATAAAACAAAGTTATTTTTAGCTAACCTCCATCAGTAATAAAATTTAAAGTCATTTTTATATAAACAATAACAACAATTGTTGAAAATAATGATTATCATAAAACAAGTTCAGAAAATTAAATGTAATTAATTATCATAACAAGTATGAGTTAACAAAAACGTATAAATGGTTTTGAAAATTTGTTTAATGTAACTCAAATAAATAAGGCCATAAAAAAAGTTATAAACACTGAAGCACGTGACAATATTATGGTTATTGATGATTATAATCATAGTTCGTGTTGATGAGGAAGGCAACGATCAGTGTTGCCAAAAAATAAAACAAAAAAAAAGTAAATAGGTGATAAAAAAAAGCTAAATAAAGCTAGATTAAAACTGTTCCAAAAAAGCTAGAAATATTTTTTTTGCTTATAAAATATTTCATCTATTGGTGGATAATCAATACAAAATTATATTAAGTATTTTTTTTTTTCATTATATTTATGGTGTGTAGACATACTATAATATATTTATTATATTATTTAGCCCTAACCTTACCAATTTTGTAAAATATATACGTATTACGTTTAAGAATCACTTATTGCTAATTGCTACTTGCTTTATAAATATATTGTTCAATTTATCATTTTATATCGCTTATTACTTAATAAATACAATTGTGTTAAAGTATTTGCAATAACAAACAAGGAGAATAATAATAATATTTTTGTTTTAATTTATCATATTTTATTTAAATAACTTGACAATTTCAAATATTAAATAGATTTTAAATAAAAATTTCATAACGCTACTATAGTAATTTGTAACCATATTTATAAAATATAAAATAATTGTCTTTCTTGACTTAATAACAGTTAATAATAAAATAAATATAGATAACACCTGAATAAATATAATATTGTCTGTTATAAGTAAGGTCCATCTAAATCAGTCTTCATTGACTATATAATAAATAAAAATAAAAAAATAACAAAAATAAGTAAAATTTATAAAATGACTATTCTATAAAACTATATGTAGATCTAAAAATATTTACATCCTCAGGTAGTATATAGTCAGCACAGCACTTTCCACTTATTTTCAGCCAATATCGTAATGTTAAAATTAAATCAAGTATATTTGACCCCATTCGATTTCGTAATTTTGTTTTTACAATATTAATTTGACTGAATTCCGTTCAACGTCATCCATGCAGTAATACAGTATATACACGTTACATGCACACATAATAGTTAAATATAATACTGGTAGAAACAATAACTCATCGACAGATTAAAATTAACTATCGTTATTTTCACTATTTTATGAAAACGGGATTTTTTTAGTGTCCTGAAAATTTTACTGGGAACAACGGGACGAAGATGTGAAAACGGGACAGTCCCGTTCAAAACAGTCACCTTATATATTTAGTATATTGTATACGGTCGTAGCTGTAACGTGTATCCACAGAATATGTATCTACTATTAAAATTACTATTAAAAAAAAAAAGTTAAGTAAAGTTAAATAAGTTAAATACCTTAATTCTGAGTTCATTTTATTTATTTATGTAAAGTTAACAATTTATTAAATTAGAAGTCTCGAGACCTGTTAATTAGTAATTACTATACAATACATCTTAAAAAATATAAATATAATATTTTAATATAAGATTTCCGAAAATTGAAGAAAAAAGGTATAAATAGCGTGATTCCTTGGGTATACCAATAGCTACATCTAACCAATCAGTTTGTGGTAATCATTTTGATCCAAGTGACTATAGTTTTAGTAATAGTAGAAAAGTACTTAAATATTTTTCCATTCCTTCGTGGTAAGAATATTCTTCCTTTATAAAATTGTCAAAAGGTAGATTCAAATATATCTATTCGTTATTCGATGCACTTTGAAATCTGCAAAATAATATTGGTAAGCATTTAAAATTCTGTATTTATAATATTTGTATCAAAAATCCACTATTTATCTATTATTTATAATGATAATAAAAATATATTATTATTTTATTAATGATTAACAAATTTGAATAGGTACATAACTAATGCGCCATTATTCTGTTCAACTATAAAAAAAAACAGTGTATAACAGTGTAGTTCTGCGAACAATAATAACTCAATAAGTGATATAACAAGTAATTATGGTGTTCCATAACCTTAAAAAGAACATGATATATATATATGTGCTTTTTCATGTATATTTTGCCGCCAATTCTGTTGATGTTTTTGTTATGAAATTATTATGTAGGAACTGTCTAATTTTGATACTTTATGTATGTTCTTATTAAATCACTTATCCGTCAATATAATTCTGTACTAAACTTAATTTGTTTTGATTTTAAAAGCACTGAGAGTTTACATTTTTAATTAATTATTATATTTATCAATATCAGGTAAATTTAACTAATTTTAATATATGTGTATATATATTTATACACAATATGAGTTTAATTGAACGTAACCTTTATTACAAATGATTTTAGCAATGTCTGGTCGTACTCCTCGAAGAAATGGCAGTACCACTCCAAGAAGAGATCAAACTCCTCAAAATGGTTCAACTACACCAAGAGGAGGTCGTGCTTCTCGAAATAGTGTCAGCACACCAAATAATAGCCAAACTCCAACCAGAAATAATGCCACTACTCCTAGAGAAGGAATAAATTCTTCCAGGAATATTATGACACCAAGAACTAATGGTCAATCAACCGGGAATAGAACGCCAGGTTCTGTTTCCAGTCGTCGATCAGGTGGGATTGTCTCGGAAGTTTCTTCACCTGCTCGTCGTTTTATGACTAGTCCATTACAAGGACTGCGTACCAGTGAAGTAGATCTTAGTTCTCCTATCAATTATGGTACTCCTCTAAGTTCGGTAGATTCTCGAGCTACTGGTTTTACTGTGCGTAGTGGTAATTCAGTTCAAAGAACTAATTTATCAGTTAACCGACGGCATAGGCAAGTTGATACTACTAATTATGAAAATGGTGTACCTCGAACTGATTTCGAAAATCAAGATGTAGCTCCAAATTTAGTTATATGGGGTACAGATGTTGTAGTTGATAAGTGTCGTACCAAATTTCAAAATTTTATTGAAACATTTAGTTTAAATGAATCGGAATTGCCACATTATATGTCTAAATTAAGTAATGTTTTGGAAATGGAAATCCCGTATATAGATGTTAATTGTGGTCACTTGAATCAATTTGATCCTGAACTTTATCAACAATTAATAAGTTATCCTCAAGAAGTTATCCCAGTGTTTGATACAGTTGTCAATGAAGTGTTTTTCACTAAATATCCAGCAGCTGATTTGACACATGTTACTAAAGCTCTCCAAGTACGACCTTTTAATGTACAAAAAACTATGAATATGCGTAACCTAAATCCTGAAGATATGGATCAGCTTATTACTGTTTCAGGAATGGTAATTAGATGTAGTGACATTATACCTGAAATGCGTGATGCATTTTTCAGGTGTATTGTATGTTCATATACAACTATTGTAGAAATTGATCGCGGTAATATTGCTGAGCCCACGTTATGCCCTCATTGTAATACTAATCATTGTTTTGAGCTTATCCACAATCGTTCTAATTTTACTGATAAACAATTAACCAAACTCCAAGAATCACCTGATGAAATGCCGGCTGGTCAGACGCCGCACACTGTAAATTTATATTCTTATAATGAACTTATTGAAACCGTACAAGCTGGTGACCGTGTATCTATAACAGGTATTTATCGAGCCGTCCCTATGCAAGTGAATCCAAGAATGCGAAACTTCCGAAGCGTATATAGGACTCATATTGATGTTTTACACTTTTTAAAATGTAATGATAGTCGTATATCTTTTGCTGTAGAAGAGAAAAATAAATTAACTGAAGAAAGAATTGAAATATTACAAAATTTATCAAAAACAGAAGATATTTATGATAGACTATCAAATACATTAGCACCGTCTATTTATGAAAATAATGACATTAAAAAGGGTATATTGATGCAACTATTTGGTGGTACACGAAAAACTTCTAAAACCAAAAATCATTTAAGGTCTGAAATAAATATATTATTATGTGGTGATCCTGGTACAAGTAAATCACAATTCTTGTCTTATGTTTATGATATTGTACCTAGAAGTCAATATACTAGTGGCAAAGGTTCTTCAGCTGTTGGTATGACAGCTTATGTAACCAAAGATCCAGAAACTAGACAACTTGTTTTACAGACTGGCGCATTAGTTTTAGCTGACAATGGAGTTTGTTGCATTGATGAATTTGATAAAATGAGTGATTCAGCTAGGAGTGTTTTGCATGAAGTTATGGAACAACAAACCTTAAGTATTGCTAAAGCAGGTATAATTTGTCAACTTAATGCTAGAACTTCTATTTTAGCTGCTGCAAACCCATGTGAATCACAGTGGAATAAAAACAAAACTATAATAGAAAATATAAAACTTCCACATACATTATTATCCAGGTTTGATTTAATATTTTTAATGTTGGATCCACAAAATGAACAGTATGATAGAAGATTGGCAAATCATTTAGTATCATTGTATTACAAAAGTGAAAGTTATGAACATGATGAACAAATGGATACTACCTTACTGCAAGATTATATTACTTATGGACGTGAAACATTTCAACCTATTTTAAATGAAGAAAGCAAACAGAAACTTATTCAATATTATGTTAACATGAGAACTGTTGGTAGTGGTAGAGGACAAGTCTCTGCATATCCAAGACAATTGGAATCATTAATTAGATTATCTGAAGCGCATGCTAAAATGAGGTATTCAAATGTAGTTGAATTGAAAGATGTCGATGAAGCTTGGAGATTATATAGAGAAGCATTAAAACAGAGTGCTACAGATCCGCTATCTGGAAAAATAGATGTAGGAATATTGACTACTGGCTTGAGTTCTGCTGCAAGGCAAAGGAGACATGATGTCGCAGAACATTTAGCCAAGGTAATGTCTAGCCAGCCAAAATCTACTATATTCAACTACCAAACATTATTAAAAGAAACAAAATCAGCTTTTCCACAATTTCAAGTTACAAGAGAAATGTTTGATGATGCTCTTAAAGAAGTTCAAGATTTGGGTAAAATCATTATCACAGGACGAACTACAATTCGTAGTATTTAAAACATTTAATGTCCTTTTTATGCTTAATTTATATTTAACTGTATTTTTTTATGTTTAATGTCATTCAAATAAATATTAATAATAAATAATTAAACAGGTAATAGCTTTATTGACAAACTTCCTAAATCCAAAAATTATTTAACTGAATTAATGATCAATTTATAGAGAATATGAACAAATAATACAAAAATAATTCCTATAGTTCATACATATTATATATATTTTTATAAATACATTGTTCTTTGACTGATTATAATTTTGTTTCTGTAAACAAAGATGTAACTCGCAAGATAGTTTTAGTTTCCTTTAAGCACATTAATACATAAATTTGCATACATTTACAAAGTTATCTGTATTGTGTCAAATTATTAATCTTAAATGTTATAAAAACTATATTGAGTTCAAAATTTAAATTTTGTTCAAAAATATTGACAAAACAAAAATTTAATTAAAAAAATTAAATCATTAAGCTTTGTTAACACATGTTCAAAATTTATAACATATTAGACTTGAGCAGCTTTCTTGGCTTTAACTAGTTCAACAATTTCTTTGTATCTTTTCATGCATTCCTTTTTCGTCCTAGTTGGAACACATTCTGCTATTCTTTCCCAACGTTCTTTTACTGCAACTGGGTATGTCTTTAGAGCTTGTTCCAATAATTTTTGCTCTTCAGCTGACCATCCAACAGGACGTTCAGAAACAACTTCAGGTACTTGTGCTTCGCTTTTTTTTTCTTTTTCAAATTGATCATATGCATTGGCATTCATTTCAGATTTTAAAGCATTATCAGTGAAATTAGTACTTTGAAGAGATTTAGCTTTAGCTAATACTTGTTTTGCATTTCGTTCACCATTCTTACTGTGTTGATTAATAAAATTTGCAACAGCTTCCCAACGTTGACTAGTACCTGCTGGAAACAAATTCACAGCTTTGATTAATAACTGAACATCATCAGTTTCCCAATCATTATTATTTTTTTCAACAATTTTTATATCATTTTTAATGACATTATTTAATTCGACTCTGCATTCCATTTGTTTAAGTTTTTCTATCAATGCTTTACGACCATCTCTTTGGATAGCACTGGCCAATTGTTTAAGCTGCACAGCGCATAGTTGATCACAAATTTTTTCAACGCCTGACATTATTTCAATAACATTGTCACCATTTTGTATATAGTAGTTATTTGTTTTACATAAATCTCGAATATTTTTACGTTCTTTTTTTAATGCTTTCTTTTTACTATCTTTTTCAGCCTTTAATGCATTTCGTTGAGCCTTTTCTACAGCTTCACGTTCTTCTTTTTCTTTTTGTATACGGGCTTCTTCTTCTTCTCTTTGTCTAATTTCTTCTTCTTGTTTTTGTCTAATTGCATCTTTTTTGGCTTGTTTAAGAGCAGCTTTGCGTTCTTGCTCTTCCTTTTTAAACTTCAAAAGTCTAGGGTCATTAGCATATGCTAGATCAACAAGTTGTCTAATACGAGCACTCTCTTCCTTTTTCAGTTTTGCACGATTAGCACGATTTTGTTTTTCAATCCACCTACGTTCTTCACGATCAGACGCTTGTTCACGATCTTCTTCATCAAGATATGAAAATTCTCTCCACGAATTAAACCCATACCAGAAATTGTAGAAACGGTCAACATGATCACGTGTACTATTGATATCTCCTAAAAGAGGCACTGAACTTTGTTCTGACCACATACTGTTACGAACAAATATTGGGCCAAATAATTCAAAGAAGTCAGATTTTTTGGCTGTTTCCTTAGAAGGAATGCTGTTTTCAAATTTAGGATCAATAGAATCATAAGCTCGTCTTTTTGTTTTATTTCCAAGCGTTTCCCAAGCTTTAGTTATGCATGTAAAGTAGTCATCATCACCTTGAACTTTTTCACCAAGTTTTTTTCTTTTATCTGGATGATGATTAAGAACTCTACGCCTATAAGCACTTTTAATTTGTGCTTCAGTTGCTTTATATCGCAATTTTGATAAACCTAACACTCTGTAATAAAAAAAACATATTCAATTAAAAATTTTTACATAAATAGTTAAAACAATCGAAATCATACAAAATTCAAAACCTTGGGCTTTGTATCTATTAATACATTTGTTAAATTATGTTTATATAAGGAAGATGATAATAATTGTACACAAATAGGTTTAACAAAATTTTTTATACATTATACAAAAAATATTAAGACCTACAACAAGTTGCTTTTTTCAATAATTTTATTTTTTTATAACAGTTTATTAAAATAAATAGATAAGAATATTTTATTGGATATATTTGTTTTTATCTATATAAATATAATAACTAGGATTCAAGATTTGTAGAACTAAAAAATATTATAGCAGTATGCAGTGCTAAATATATATTTCAGAGGTTTAACTATTTTAATCAAACAATTTATACTAAAGGTATTATTCAAAATGTGCATCACAGCTCCTGGGTATAACAGGAATTTGAGAAGAGTTATTTTAAGAAATAAAAATTTTATTATTGTAATATAATCAATTATAATTTAATCGTTCATTACAGAAACCCAATAAGATAAAAATTTCTTAAATATATTATGTTCTAATTTTCTTGTATTAGTAGACTTATCGATTTGTGTAAAAACCCTTATTTGCATCTTATTTATATGTCCAATCGCATCTCCAAAATCTTTGTTTAAAACAGAAACTCCTCATGTGACATCACTTGAGTTTTTTATTTTTGATTAGTTTCTAGAAACTTTAAAGTTATGGATTAGAGGGGTTTCTGTAATAAGCAATTCAAATATAGTTTATAATAAATTGAGCAATTATTGAAGCAATAAAAAAGAGATGTGGCCATTTTGCAGAGAACTGCAACTTTTTCTTTTAGATCACAATAAACACCATAAAAAAATTAAGACAATGATTTTTTTTAAGAAGCTTTTAAGTCTTTTGGATATTTTTTAAAACCTAAATGTAATAAATATTTTGTTGCAAGGAAATAATATCCATATTTTTGAGCTTTTTGTTAAAATTACAGCATTCCATAAGAAATTAGTTTTAAGAAATATATGAGGGTGCTATTAATGACTACTTTTCTATGCTCCATTAATTTCTAAGTGAAAATTATATGAGCAATAACAATATAATATTAGATTCCAAAATGAAGACAATGTTTGTATCATTATTAACTCAATTTCGAACATAAGTAAATCTACAATACTCAGAAGGCTAATAAAGTTTTGAAAAATGTAATACTTTAGGCTAGTGGTGGTCAAACTACGGCCCACGAAAATATTCTACATTAAAACACTTATTTGCACAACTGTAATATTTTACATTTATGTGAAAAAAAATTGAAAAATACATTTTGTTATGGCCCATGGTGAAAAAATGTTGTTTTTTTGGGCTCAAGGTAAAAAAAGTTTGACCACCGCTGCCTTAGGCTACTTTACAGTATATAAGACAGGATTTTCTAAATTAACTGTAATTAAAACAAAATATCTGTCAAAAGTGAACATCTAGAAGTAGATTAGAACAGCTATTTCTAAACTAGAATTAAAATTTGAACATATTATGAAACATAAACAAGCTCATCCATCTCACTAAATATTAATTTTGTTTTTTTACTAATTTTTATTTATTAAATAAAAAAATATTTTATTTTATTTTTCAATATTAACTATTTATTTGGAAATTGTTTTATATACTTGTGTGATAAATAAATAAATCTAAATATATTATAATAATTTACATACATAATATTTTGTTTTTTTGTCATTAATAATTTAGGAGCCATCAAAATATTGTGAACACATATAGGAGTTGAGAGTTGAAAAAATTTGAATACCTTACCTCAGATTTATAATTATTGTTAAATATAAAAATTAGGGTTTTTTTTTTTTTTTTGTAAAAGAAAACAAACATTTTGAATAATTAAATCACTAATAGTATTATTTTAGTTGATTTTATATAGTATAATTATAAAACAAAGTTTCTTTATTGTTATTAAGGTTACCAAATTAATTTCAAGCTTTATTCGCAAAGTTAATAAATTATATATTAGGCTTTGATTTAAAATATTTAAGAATATATTTTTAAAAGTGCTCATTAATAAACATAATGATTTAAATATTTATTTTAAATGATTTCGATTATATTTTGGTAAACAATTAATTTAATAATTACTGATAATGATCTTGATCTTTCCATTCTTTAGGATCTAAAGTTTTTAGATAAAGAGAATCTGCCTCACTTTCTTCATCAATAAAAGATTCATTTGTATCTTCTACTTCTTCCCCATTGATTAAGCTTTTATCTTGGGATGTTGATCCAGACAAATATCTTAAAATCCATGGTCCAACTGTTTCTACTTTACGAAGATGAACATCTAGAATAGGCGGTTTCTCTTTGTCTTTCATTATTTAACTATGGTAAATTTGATGACATGCAATCACAATAATGGTTATTTGTGCATAATCTAAAATAATAAACACAATTATACGTTAGGACAGAATAAAAAATTATTTGAAATAAAATCCCCATGTAAAACATACTGGTTGAAGATCTGTATCTTAGATCAACTCCAGTATCGATAAACAAGAATATTTATTGAATGGAACATTTATAAAACAAATATTACTCACCCTAAAATAGTGAAAATACCAACTGGACATAAGTTCTCAATAAAAACTTCGACCAATTTGAAGATTTCGAAGAAGAAATTTTTGAATATAATAATTCTTGTTTCGGAATTTGTAGGTTAGGGTGGTAAAGTGTTTTGTACAACTCAAGGACAATTAGTGTATGGAAAAAAAAGCAAAGACGTACGCGTTTAGAACGTCCTTGCACTCGTTTCGGGGGCCTATATGGCGAACCACTTATTTACGCCACACGCGTATCATGCTCGATCATGCACAACTGGCAAGTTATGTTCACCGGCGCCGCACACATAATTACATTACGCATACCAACTTACTACGCAGCGAATCAAATCCTCCCGACAAGTCCAGATGGTTAGGGAACAACGTAATTTTGAATAACGACGATAACGTATTATTTGGTTAGTGATAAACATTAGAAAACTATTGTTGATCCAAATATTTGCATATTCTGTAAGATATTATTGTTGTTTCTGTTTCATTGCAGGGCTCGGGCCATCAAATGTGAGTATAGTAATTTAACGAACGATTTTATGCTTATCAATTTAAAACCAATCTAAGTGTATGAAGTCGTTATTTTTTATTTTTCAAATCTACTTCCGTGTTCCTTGTAATCACATTATTTGAATTATATATGGGTATTGTAATACCTATCTGACTTAGATTTTTTCAATTTTTCAAATTGGTTGTATCTTGCACTGTATAGAATTATTTCACACATACACTAATTTGTTAATCTACATCACAGTTTTAACGGGATATCAAAGTTTGCACTTAAATCAAAATTATGACTACACCATCTTCAACAACAAGCCAGAAACACAAAGCGTTTTCTGGGGAGCCTATGCGAGATAAACCAGTCGAAGAACTTGCTGGTATTGGTCCTGTTTTAGCTACCAGACTCAAAGAACAAGGATTCACAAAAGTAATTTGATTCAAATTTCTGAAATAAGTATAGCTTAGAGCCTATACAAATTTTACATTTTATGAGATTTTATTATATGAATAATTTATAAATTAATATAATTAATATTATATTTTATCTAAATTATGACACTTTTAATATATAGTGCGCTTTATAAAAATGATGCAAGAACAGATGTCTTTTCTGAAATACAATTTTGACTAAAGTATTTAAAATGTTACTTAATTTTTGACAGCAAATCAGTTTATATTTTTCATAAAAACTTTAATAAAATAAACGACGCGTGTATAATAATAAGTGACTGATGATGCATTAAATGCATAGAATTTCAAAATATATAAATTAGACATTTTTATTCTGATTTTCAAACTGTCATAATTTAAAAACTCATGATTTCTCATCAACATTGTTTTTCAGATGTTACAATACAGAAAGAAAAAAAAATACAAAAATTCTCATAAGCTCTGTAAATTAATTTACTCAAAATTCTACGTCATAAATTAGTATTTTAATCTTAATTATTTATTTAACAAAATTTCTACATAAGCTTATTGTAAAAATGTCTATTTATATTAAAAAATGTATATTATTATTTTTAATTTTAGGCTTACAATGTATTAGGTCAGTTTCTACTTCTACAAATGGATCAAGATTTATTTTGTGAATGGTTAAAAGACACAATAAGTGCTAACTCAAAACAATCAAAAGATTGTTATGGATGTTTAAAAGCATGGTGTGATGAATTTTTGTGATAACTGTATTTTTTTATTATTTATATATATCTATATATATATATATATATATTATTGTATAAAGAATAATATAAATTACCAATGCACACTAAATTTATTAAAATGTAGTTGATATATTCAATTATTTTATTATATACTTTTTATAATTCCATATTAACATAAAATAAATCTAATCTATGATCATAAAACGAACATGTTGCAATTATTTTTCTGTTTTTTGACTTTGTTCTGCATTCATATTGAATATTGTTGGAATAGCACCAATCAGCTCCATAAAAAAGTCTATTATTTTTTTCTCCAAAAGCTTGACAAATATTAGCTTTATTGATTGATGTGTCTATTATATGAGCAGCATTAAACATTGAAGCACTTAAAAGATATTCTTCTTTTAAAGGCTCCCATTTCAACCTCCAAATGCCTCCATCTACTTTAACATTATTATAACAATGTTTCATGTTACGTGTATCCCACAGTCTTACAATTTCATCATAACTAAAAATATATTAAAATTGTACTAATAGAAAATAGTTTTACATTTTTTAACTTACCTCCCAGTAGCAATTATGTTTTCTCTGATTTTATTGGATGAACACGTTGTTACTCCTTGTTCATGATCTTTATTTTCAAACACAGGTTTATCATATTGTAAGCGTTGGTCATAACATTTAAATTTACAATCGTCACCACCTATAAATTATAGTTTGTTAAACATTAATGATGACGTTATTAAATTAGATTTCAGTACTAGTAATATCAAACAAAAAACCGATGCAAATAACCTTAACATTTGAGCCAGATTACAGTTTTAAATTTATTTGTATTCCTTCTATTCTATAATCCTTGCAATCCTATAGTATTAAAATCACTAAAGTATTATGAAAATATCTACATTAGTGAATTAAATTGAGTTTAAGATTAATTTCTAAAAACTCAGTATTTATAATAATATAAAATATTCATATTGACATCCACAAAACATTATGCTATTAGTCTTAACCATAAATTAATTTTCATTCACTTATTAATTAAACCAACTCATAAATTAAGTAAATGGAATTGGTAGTAAAAAGTTTAGTGCATTTTTATTATAAAATCACCTGTGTATAATATGTTAGGTTCTCCGTGATTAAATGCAACTGTCCATGACTCAAAATTATGAGCTTTGAAACTATAAATCAGTTGATTATTTAAATTAACTACAGTTATGTAACCGTGGGAATCACTAAATGCAAGATTATGTGATCCGTTTTCATGATGTGACCAAGCAATTGATAAACTCATATGACATTCACCATTTGTTTTAGGAAGATCAAAACTTGAGAATACGCTTAGACACAATTCAGTATCATATTTATCTATAATATAAATTAATTATTTAAATGTATTATTAGTTTTTTAATGTGTTAAATATTCACCTAAACTGTATAAACGAATGTGGTTGCCAGACAATGCAGCTGCTAACAATATTTTTCCAGAAACTATATGTGGATTCCATTTTAAATCTAATACAGCATCTTCAGGAATAGATTGAATTAATTTTATTTTATTTTGATCTTCTAAAATAAATAAATTAATGGTGCCAGTTTTTAATTTGTTTGCTTCGTCAAGTTTATAAGTGCCACATACAAATACATGATGGTATTCTAATATTGGACACCATTCAACAGTATCAGCTGGGTACAAAGTGTCAAACGACTCTAAAAAATCCACACTACTAATTTCAGTCATCTAAAAAAAAAATATATTTAAAAATTATTATTGAAGACTATTAATATTTGTCCAGTTTCATTAAAAAATTAAAAAATATTTCAAATATTACTATTTATATTTTAAGTAATTATAATTCAAATATAAATAGTAAGATATTTTTTCAGTATCATTACTAAAGCTCAATTTTTTTTTACACGTATAGAGCAGAAAAGAGGTAGAGCTTCACTTCCTTATCACCATACTTTACACAATGAATGCATTTAATAGTAATTCTGATCATATTAATATATATATATATAGTTCAATCATAGGACAGATCAAAATAGTATTAAATATTGATATATCACATGCCATCCGATGATACATCAACTAATTATAGTGATCAACACTGCCATACAAGAAAAAATTAACGTTTATTAGTATTAAGTCTTCCAAATAATTATAAAATTGTATTGATCTAGTCAAGAAACTTTTTATGTCAATTTAAAACCATGGCTTAGTCAAATTTCTATAATTTAAATTAAACTATGAAACTGTCACTAATATTTTTTGCCATTCCTGATAGTTTTGACTTGTAGCATAGTCCTTAATATTTTTAAAACTTCTAACACATCTTTCAAAATATACCCAGCACATTTTGCTAAATATAATACTTATCAAGTAGTGAAGTAAATCGGTAATATTATTTTGATAAAGTATTATAAAGTAAGTTATAGCATATTGCCTGTACATGTTAAAAACATTAAAACTCAAATATTGTTTTTAGGCATCTGTGACCTTATTTTTTTAAATTAAATACTTTTTTGTGTAAAATCAAAAAAATGTTTTTTATTTCTAATTTTCTATTTCTTTGATAAAAGTATATTTAGTTTTGTACTTTTGTTTAACATTTGTAAAATGTAACGAATACCTATATTATATACCTATATTGATTAATAACTATATTAGTACAGAAAATATTTCAATACTTTAATATGTAGAAATAAAGAATGCATTTTCTTAAAAAAAAGTATAATTTTAGAATCCAGTGTAGCCATTTAGGTATTTTATGTTTGAATAATAAATAATAATTAACAGTTAATATTACTTTTTTATTTAATTGGATATTTGGTTGTTGAAAAATAAATTACCACTAATTAATGGTAGTGAACTACTAGCACGTAACAATCCCAGTTACTAAGTATATATCTTTTACATTTACAGATAGAACCAATTTTTTTCAGTAAAATATTTACCTAATATTGAACATCATAATGTTGACCATTATTTCTAGGAAACAATAAATAAGTTAAATAATATAACTGTTCATGAAAATACTTAGAAGTATGATGTGATGTATATTCATAAAATCTTAACTAATGAAATCAAAAAATAAAGAATAAAAATATACTAATAATTCTATATTAAAATATAATATTAATTATATTTTGTTATACATACAATAAAAAAGAATTATGGATTTTTTAAAGAATATTTATAATGAAATAATTATTTAAGTCTAATTAACATTTTACGTTGCATAATATGTTGTATTTCTCCTCTTCTGATCATCAAATATATAACTTTATCAATGGCTCTTTGTGGATATTTTTGTCTTAAAAAATCTTGAATGATGCTAAATTCTGATACTTGAGATCCAATTGGGAATCGGCGTTTCAGTTGTTTTTCAATTCTTTGTAATGTTTCAGTATCTTCTTCAGTAGAAAAACCTTCAACACCAGATAAACATCCTGATGTTGCTGCACTTAAAGTAGATACTTGAAACAATCTTAATGCTTCATCTACATGAGTCTCTGTAGCAAAAGGTTGTAATTGCATTTTAGCTAACGATTCAGCAATACGAATAATGGCTTCTAATTGTCGAACAGTGATAGGAATGGCTAATTTTTTTTCAGATTCTAATTCATGACATCCAGTTCTCATAAGAACATAACGACTTTTAAGTTTCTCACCAGCTTCTTCTGATAATCGAGGTCCACAACGTTGGCGGCAATAATTCAGGAATTTTTTTATTGTTGCCAATGGTAATTCTCCTTCAACTTCTTGCTGAGCTTGACCATTCATTAAATGAACATTCATGATATGCTTAGCCAATGTCATATCTCGAATTTGATTATGTTCATCTTTTATAATAAATATCATATCAAATCTATAAATTAAAAATGTATTAAATTAATTTAAATAACTTTTAACATAATTTTAATAATTCAAAAGACATAAATAATCAATTCAAAAAGATTTATATTTTTAATAACAAAAACCCATATTTACCTTGATAAGATAGTAGGCATGAAATCAATATTATCTTCGCCTTTACTATCATCCCATCTACCAAATACTGAATTTGCAGCAGCCAATACTGAACAACGGCTATTAAGAGTAGTTGTAATGCCAGCTTTAGCAATTGAAATAGTTTGTTGTTCCATAGCTTCATGAATTGCTACTCTGTCACCTTCTCTCATCTTGTCAAATTCATCAATACATACAACACCACTATCAGCCAATACCATTGCTCCACCTTCTACTATAAAATTATGTGACGTTGGATCTCGAGTAACAGAAGCTGTAAGACCTGCAGCTGAAGACCCTTTGCCAGACGTGTATACACCAATAGGAGAAACTTGTTGAACAAACTTAAGAAGTTGTGATTTAGCTGTACCAGGATCTCCTAGAAGCAATAAATTGACGTCTCCACGACGAGTTAAACCATCTGGCAGTCTTTTTCGTGATCCACCAAACAACAGACAAGCTATGGCTTTTTTTATATCACTGAATCCAAAAATGGAAGGTGCAATGGATTTGGAAATTCGTTCATATATATCAGGAGATGATGCCAACTTTCTGAATAGTTCTTCATCTTCAACAGAAGTAGGCATTGAAGTAGTAAAACCACCAACTTGATCATCCATCTGAAATCCTAGAACTCTTAAATATGGAGCACGCACACCAACTACTGTACGAGAATTTTCTGCAACTTTTTGTTTCCTCGAAGTTTTAACCTAAAAATACAAATACAGAGGTATGAATTTTGAAGTACATGATTAATAAATTCTGTACTAATTTACAATGGAACATACCTTTTTTATAGAATAAACACCAACTACCATGATGCGATTTCCAGGAACTACACGCTCACATAAATAACGATCACAATATAGCTGTACATGTCGTGGCATTTCTCCTTGGGGAGTAGAATCACTCAATTCTTGTAGTTTTAAAATTTGAGAGTCAACACATTTACATTTGTCTGGTATAATAAAATAAGGATCTAATGGACACTGTGGACGACCAGCTTGTTCTGTTGAACATTTTCTTGGTAAAATATAACCATCCATCCCGGCTTTTACAGGTAAATGAGGTACAACATTACGACAAGATCTACATTGTAATGTTATTTGTGTAGCCTTAGCACGAATACTTGAAGCTGATACTATGATACCAGGGATTTTAACTAAACGAGAAACTGATTCAGATTTAATTGAACGCAAAGAAGAAGCCAATGAATTTGTAGACAATAATATTTGAATATTCTCAAAATCATCAGCATTATCTGATGCAATCAATTCTTGAGCCAACTCTGTGGCAGCTTCCTCGAAAGCTGGTAAATGTTCAACTGGCTGTTTGTATAGTTTGTCTGCTAAATTTTCATCAAATCCAGCTAAATCTTCAACATTTATTTCCAGCCAATACTGACCCAAATTACAATTACGTTTTAAAGTATCTCTATACTTATAATTAAAATTTTCTTCGTTATAAGTTTTTAAAAATTCTTTGAATGTTTTCTTTATAGATCTTGTGTTCATTAACGATGAAGCCAAATTATCATCATCACCGAAAGTATCAGAAAAAAATATACCTGGAGTATCAAAACCCTCCATGATTATTAGCTAGTTATATCCAATAAGTTAAAAAAACAACACAATTATTAGATTAAAAAAAAATTGATACGTGAATTAAACTGAACGCAAAGAAAAATATTAAATAAATAAACACAATTTTATGCTACCCGAAGTACACGACGACCATGATCTAAAATCTAACAAAGCAACAGATTAGCAAATAATAATTGGCGGGAAACTTTGTTAGTAGTACTTTTATTGAAGTTGGGAACACACAACAAACATAAAAACGTTTAACTCCTATTGTTATGGTCAAAGTTAGTAACGTTTTCCAAATAGGTAATAAACATTCAACATTGTTAATTCATAGTAGGTACTTATTGTACGTAAAAAACATAGAATGGTTAATGCGTGAATTTTTATTTCTTTGCAACAGTCAACAATACACTAATTTTTAACCGAGCTAAGATATTCATTTAAAATATTAATTTATAAAAACAAATAGTTTATATTATTATTATATGTATATATATATATATATATAAATTCTTAGCCTGGAGTATTATTAATCCTTTATTAACTTATAAATAATATACCTACAGATAAATATTTATTTCTAAATATAAATATAAATTATTTATATATTAATTTACAAGTGCTAACCATTTACTAGTTTTTAATTTTTTATTATTTTATTATTTAAAAAATCTGATTGATATTGATAAAATGAATTAGATACCTGATATGTATTTTAAACGCCGATCAAAATTAATTCAATACTAATAGCAATAACAAGCACAAAAAATTACTATAAAACCACTTTTAAGATAAGTGATAATGATCCACCAACAGCATTTTACAATCACAACATACAACAGAATTATAACTGATCGTACGTTTAGTATTATCACTTGATAATAAAATAGTATATTAAATACTCTCCAAAACAACTAATATTTATCAAAAATCGGAAACTTATTAACGTCCTGTTACGGAAGTTTTAGCTTTCTTCTGTGCTATCGAAATTACGAACTATTTAGCTATTCTGTATTTCTTAAAAACCTATAATCTCATAATAATTTAAATCTATCGTACACATCTATCACTACACTATCTTATAATTATTCTTGAGATAATCATTAATTTCATTAATGTATTCAATCTGTAGCCTGTAATTAGTAGATGTTGTTATTCCGAGTATGTATACTTACACAAAAACAGCTATCACGCTTTTATTTTATCCATCACTTTTTCCTTGTTAGCTTTTTTTTGCCCTCACAACATTTACTGTTTTCATTACTACCTTACCTGTTTATAGTCTTTGTTATTATCTAGCACCTCATTCAACGTTCCTTCAGAATTTAGTAAAATTCATTAATAATTGAAGTAGATTTATTTTTAAATTTAACATTTTTTTTTTTAAATAATTCATATTAAATAGGTTAAGTACCATTAATAGTTTAGGATACAGTTACCAGTTGTATACTAAAGGTATATAATAAAACTATGATAAATAAGCTAAAATAAATATATTTTACAACTGCAATTAAAAGTACTACCATTGTGTTAACAATTGTAGTCATTTTTTTTTTAATTAAAAATAAATCTAAGAATTTTATGTGATGTAAGTGTTCTTTGTACTGAAATCCCATTAGCTCCTAAAGATAAATTTATCAGATTTATAAGCAAAACAACAAGTTCAACAAATTAATAAAAATGTAGATAATTATAATACAGATTTGTTTATTTTAATAATAATAATAATTTTAAATAACAGAATGGAAATCAAGTAATTAACAAATAAAATGTTATGAAAATAATTTTTATTTATGAAAATGTTAAACCTAATTTTAAATATCTAAAAAAATAATCAGTTATTAATAAAATGCAAATTAATAATAAATATTTATGAATTTTGTACAAGAGTTACTTTTTTTTTTAGTTCTACAGATAATATTTGGGTGAATCAGTAAATTATAAGATAATTTTACAGTTTATTATAGATTATTAAATGTATTGATTTGAATAAATAATTTGTTTTTCACAAAACTGAAATAACCATAAATTAAACCATGTCTAATAAACATCAATTTAATATATTTTAAACACAATTCACAAATACTTTAAATGATTTAAATAATATTTAAAACCAAAGATACCTTCTAAAATTAAAAATATATTATGTATATACTAAATAAATATCGTAAAAAAATTATAGATACATTTTTATAACTATAGTTTTTATTTAATATAACTATATTTCATATAATTTTACTATAATAATTTATAGTTTGTGCTATTTTAATTAAAATGTAGCTAATATACTTTTAACATAATAATGAATAATAATACCTACCCACAATTTAAAATAAAAAATAAATAAATATAGATTGTGTACCTAAAATCTATAGCTTAAAATAGTGCTTGGCTATTACAACATAATAAATATAATACCCGTTATAGAAAAAGTTTGTACAGTAAATTAGAATAATTTGTATAAAATTATATACAATTTTAAAAATAATTAAAATTAAAATAGTACTTAGATTCTTAAAAATATTTGTATAACATTTTATTCTTAAGCATAGATAATCTAAAAAAAAAATAAATATGAAAATTGAATGGATACCCTGGTAGAATTAAAATGAAATAAAACATCTTAAGGCCTCAGAATCAATATCACTTTGTTACCATTTTAATGCTTAAAGTACACAGTTTATGAAAAATACTATTTATAATAAAATACTGTCAGTCATAAATTGAAAACATTTTTTTTTGAATTTGTTTTTTTTTTTTTTTTTTTTAATACCAAAATGTGATTATTTTAACATGAATAATTGTATAAATAATGTTAATGGAAAACTAGCAATTTAAAATTTTTGTAAAAATATTTTCATTTTTAATGTATCCGTTTTAGCGCAACACTTTAAACGAAAAATTGTTGAATTTAATTTATAAAAATAACAATTATTAGGTAATAATTAAATTTCTTATAATAAAAACAAATATTTTTATTTTAACATTAAATTAATATTCTTCTTTATATTTTATTTGCCAAAACGAATATAATTAAAATTCAATTAACATTAAAATTTCTTTGATCTATAACTTATAGTGGTTTTCAAAATCATAATTTAATTTATTTTGCTGCAGAATATATAAATGCCAATAATTTTATTCATAATGTATTAATTATTTATCTATAAAATATGTGTGATATTTAAAGCTGTCTTGATACTTTTTCTACTTCTTTTAAACATTCACTCACTAATGCTTTAGCTTTATGAATTGATTTTTTCAATCGTTCTGTAGAGTTCTTACAACCTGTATAAATTGGTCTAATAGACCCTGACATTTCTTCAATAACCCCCAATAACTCTCTATATTTAGCCCAACCATCTTCACTACTTAAAGAATCAATATCAAATGTTTTTTCTACATTTTCTAACTGTCCTGATATTCGATCTGAAGCAGTAGTAGTAGAAGTACTAGTATTAGAAGTTGGTGGGGGCATATGTTCATGTTTATAATGTTTTGTTTTATTTTGAGTGTTTTCTTTGTTATAGTTTACTGCAGTCTTTTCTTTAGTTTGTTGAGTTTGTTCATAAGAATATGGTTTCCTTTTATTAACCTGATTAAAATTCATTAATAATTCAGGATAGTTGAACGGTAAATTAAATGGCCATTGTTGTTCAGGTTGAGCATTATAATTAGGATAATGTTTTCGATTCATCGTTAAGTCCAAAAGAGGATTATAATTGTTCATATCATAGGTCATATGGTTTAATGGAGGCATACTGGATTTTCCACGTTTACGTGGAGCACCTCCTTGGGCATTGGATGATAAAGAGTGTTTATTTTTTGATTTACCACCGCTTGAATTTGGAACAAGCGATAATGACACGGTACTCTGAGGAGAAGTAGAAGAAACTGCATATTGACTATTAGTTTTTGTACTTTGTGATATAGGTATGATGGTCAACTCTGAATGGCATCCCATGTTGCCAGACTTGATTGCTTCTAGTAAACTATTTTCCATGATTTTACTTTTTTTTCTTACTTTTTTGTCCTGAAATTATAATATTAAAATATTACTAAATCATATTATTTAAAAAAAGTTTATCTTTAAAATGTTATATAATTATTATTTAATACATAAAATTGTATATATTTGGAATAAATAATTTATTATAGCAAAAATTACCCAAAATAAAATATAGGAAAATATAAATGAATACAAAGAGGAAAGTGCTATAGTAAGAAGCAGATTTATGGGAGGGCAACGCAACAATCACCCCTCTCCTCTTGGGTTTTTAAATTGCTCAAATTACAGTCAAATCTTAATTTTACTATAAGTAATCACTCATAAATATTCTTATTTACCCCCTCCCTTAAACAAGCTTTAGATCCACCCCTGACTATATTACATACAATAAAAAGCTAACTTTCTAAATTTATAGTTAAAATGCATTTATATATGTGTATGTGTAATTGGTTAAACTAAATCTTTAATAATCTAAAATGAAGCTATTAATTTATCATATTAAAAAATAATATACTTCATCATAATCACTATTTGTCAACAACTACATAAACTTCAATTATAATAAAACATTTTGAATATTGATTCATTTATTACATAATAAATATCAATTAATAGGAGTTTAGTAAAAGTTAAAACAGGTAACCTACCATTGAGTAACATGTAAATGACCTAATAAATTTGGGTAGTATAAATAATTGATATGCACTTACTCTGTTTATTAATTGAAATTTAAAAAAAAAATATATATATATATATATATAGAACTTAATTAATAATAAGTATTGCAGTTATTGAATACCATGATAGAGTAACAACAAATACAGAGCTTTTATTTTTTTTTTTTTTTTGATAAAAATAATATTTGTCAATTTGTCATAATACTACAATGTTATTAAATATTAATATGAGGAAACAAATAACAATTCACAATAGAAAATGGTTATGGTTCAGATTATGACTGATAAGTTATTTTTTATTATTTACCATTATTGTTATATGATATAATCGTTTCTATGTTCAGTTCTTATACGATCTAAGGTTCAGTTTGACTATTAATTGATAAAACTTTGCTTGTGATAAGCACATTGACATTGATAATATAATTTTTAATTTCTGGAACCCTAATGCTATGTGTATCAGACACTATACCTAAAAAATTAGGGTTGATGAATACTAACAAGTAAGTTAAAATAATAAAACTTGTAACACATGAATTGATAATGATAATATTGTATAATTTATGCTTCCGATTCTGTTATATTATTTATATATTACCTACAAATAATTAAACAAAAAGTCTTTAAATTTTGAGTTTTTAAGGGAATAGTTAAGATACGGTTTCCTATGTGCGACTGGGCGCAACGACTGATCGCAACGACTAGTCGCAAAGATTGATCTATATTTAATCAATGAAAGTAGTTTCCCATGTGCGATTGACACGTGTGTGTCGATAACAGTCGTTGCGGCTTGCGACTGTAGTGAACGGTTCACTGTGAACCGATAGCAGTGTCGTTTATGAGTCGCATGCGTGTTTTACTTTCCGTTCAACTTTAAAACATCAAAAATCTTGCTACCACGATTTCTCTATAGTTAATTGTATAATACTTTTTTTTTTGTGATATCACAATATGAAATAGAAGTTGATCAGTTTAATTTGTAATTTGAATATTTTACTCATAAACCTAACTTAATCTTACTTCCTTATTTATCTATTTAAAATTTAAATTTTTTTTAAAAAAATCTGATCTATGATTTTTATTATCTTATCTTATTTTTTGTTCTTTAGTATGCAATCACAATAATAAACTATTCTTTATACCGCCGTGACATGTTCAAGAGACATCCAAGGAGATATGGGGGGGGGGGGAATCAGATTTTTTCCTTCGCAGAACTAAAATAAATATTTACGGTTAACCCTACATATAAATTCGAATTTATCACATTTATACACTTCTGAAAGTTTAAACTCCATCCTAGAAAAATGTAATGTTTGTTACATGTTTAATAAGTAAATTAAAAAATTTCACCAATGCGTAATATAAACACGTAACATTATGGATTATAGTATAACCAATAGAACGACAGCTAGAACATTATTTGCTAGTCGTTTTACAACGTAAATCGAAAATTATGATAAAAACAAATAATATTTAACAAATATTTCGTGAAAGCGAGTACATAATGTACATCACTTTTATTTTCCTAATACAGGGTTAATTGCATTGAAGAATAACTATTTGTTTATGCAACTAAATAAAAATATAACGAAATACATATATTATTTTAGTGTTTAAATATCATAGCACATAGACTTGGGGAAATATTTTATGAAGTATATTCGTATAGACACATTTTAATATTAATTTTATTTAATATTCGCTATTGATTCTTTAATATTATGGGAATTGGGTGGCTTTTATGCAAAACTAGTTTCACTAATAAGAAAAAAGGGCGACATTCTTACATTGGCGTAGCCAATGGGGGGCTAAGGGGCCTATAGCCCCCCTCCATGAGCCGTGTTTATATGGATAATGTATCTTGACTATTCAATAGAATCAATGGATGCTCGTTTTAATCAAAGGCTTATTGATGTTATGCCACTTGAAAGACTTATTCCAGCCAATTTAAATATGTATGACGATAAAAATATTATAAAAGCTGCTAAAATATATGTCCAAGATCTCCATGATGATACCTCATCTACAATCAGGGTTGACCTGTTCATATGGAGGCAACAATTGAGTCAAAATACTAAAAATACTATTCCAAAACCGAATTCTGTTCTTGATTCACACTCTCATCGCACCAATCTTCGACCTAACATTAAAATACTTTTACAATTATTCGCCACGTTACCAGTTACCTCTTTCACTCCGGAAAGAACGTTTTCAGCACTTAATCGCTTAAAAATTTTTTTAAGAAACACCATGTCGGAAAACAGACTGAATGAGTTAGCTATGGCTTATATAAATAAAAAAAGAGCAATTCGATGAAAGTGAAATAATAACTGAATTTGCCAGAAATTCGCCTAAGAGGATGCAGCTGTCAGAGTGAAGCAAGTGACTGAACACTGAAACCAAAATTATTATTATTATTATAAATTATATATTAATAAATATTTTTAAAACTACACTAAAATGCTTGAATTACGTTTAGAAACTTGGTAGTAGATGGTGGGGGGGGG